TTGGTTTTCTTATTGACAACATATTACATTTTGTGGAATTTTTTTTTCAACAGAAAATCGGCATTTCAACGGGATTTAACATTGCTCCTATTCACGCTGATTCGTTCTTGTATTCATATAATGCAGACTTCATACAAGGGCTTCTAAAGGAGTATGAAAGAAGATAGCAGTATTCCTTTTACAGATTTTGGTCCTCTCATTCAATAACTAACAGTTTGATTTGTCATTTATGTAACTTAATTAAGGATTTCACCGATACAGGTCGGGCTGCTTCATATATTGACTTAAACTTGGCAATTATCAGTAAGGATCGATTGAAAACTTTACATAAGAACAAAAGTTATTACTTCGATTTCCCTATATAGACTATTCACTGCAGCGACTGCATTCCAGAATTTTTATCTTCCAGTTAATACGACATGCCAAGGCATGAGATTCCATTTATGTTTTACCTGATAGAATTTCCTGCTTACAAGAAAGTATCAAAACCAAATGTTATTCATGGTAAAATTGATGTCTTTTAAGGAAACCACCATGCTTTGGTCATATCAGTCAAAAATTACAACAGAAATGTTCAATATGTCGTAGCCCCATCCTCCTTTTATTAGTTTATGACAATCATCTAATGCGACTAGTCACCATATTTCTACATGACATGAGCAACATGAAGGATGTAACCAGTGGAACATGAGCAGCTTACCCTTCAAAAAACCGGAGTTCAACCCCGGCTGTTGATGAAGTTCATGTTTCTAAATCTTAAGTTATCTGTGTAGTTTTGTTGTGGACTGGTACATCTCCCTTTTTTTTCTTTTGGTCACGACTTATTAGCTATGTTTATACCTAGACTAAGTAACGATATTTATGAACATAAGTATATTAGCTACGTTTATACCTAGACTAAGTTTTGATATTAGAGAACATCAATACATTAACTACGTCTATACCTGGACTTAAGTATGATACTAGTGAACATCGGTATATAATCAACGTTAATACCTCCAATAAGTTATGATATTAGATGATCATCGATATATTAGCTATGATACTTTAAATACCTGAACTAAGTTATGATATGAGTGACATCGGTATATAAGCAGAGTTAATACCTAGACTTAAATATGATATTAAGGAACATCGGTACATTAGTTACGTTTATCCAAGACTAAGTTATGATATTAGTGAACATCGTTGTATTAGCTGCGTTTATACCTGAACTAATTTATGAGGATAGTGAACATCGGTATATAAGTTGCGTTTATCCCTGGACTAAGTTATGATATTAGGGAGCATCGGTATATTTGCTACGTTTATATCTTTTCTTAGCTATGCTACAAGAAACATCGGTATATAAGCTACGTTTACTTCTGGACTCAATTATGATTTAGATAAACATCTATATATAAGCTATGATAAATGTAATACCTGAATAAAATTATGATATCAGTGAACATCGTTATATTAGTTGCGTTTATACCTGAACTAAGTTATGCTATTGGCGATTATCGCTATATTAGCTGCTTTCATACCTGCACTTAGTCATGTAATTAGTGAACGTTGATATATTAGCTTCATTTATACCTGGACTAAGTTATGATATCAGGTAACATCGGTATATTAGCTACGTTTATACCTGAACTAAGTTATGCTATTGGCGATTATCGCTATATTAGCTGCTTTCATACCTGCACTTAGTCATGTAATTAGTGAACGTTGATATATTAGCTACATTTATACCTGGACTAAGTTATGATATTATGGAACATCGGTATATTAGCTACGTTTATTGCTGGACTATGTTTTGATAAACTGAACATCGGTGTATAAGCTGTGACTATACCTTGACTATCTTATGATATTATTGAACATTGGTTTAGTAACTTAAGTTTATACTTGGACTAATTAATGTAATTAGTGTACATCGGTATATTAGCTGCGATTATATCAGGACTATGTGATGATATTTATGAACATTGGTATATTACTAGTAACTGCTTTTATACCTGGACTAAATTATGATATTGGTGAACATCGGTACATTAGCTGCATTTATACCTGGACTAAGTTATGATATTTGTGAACATCGGTACATTAGCTGCATTTATACCTGTACTACTAGTAAGTTAAGATATTAGATGAACATCGATATATTAGCTTTGATAATTTAATACCTGGACTAAGTTATGATATTAGACGAACATCGATATATTAGCTTTGATAATTTCAATACCTGAACTAAGTTATGATTTTAATGAACATCGGTATATTAGCTGCGTCTATACCTGGACTAAGTTATGATATTAGGGAACATCAGATATTAGTATTAGCTGCGTTTATACTTTTTTTCGGTGAAAAGCTCATCGGCATATTAGATGCGTTTATACCTGGACTAATTTATGATATATATGAACATCGGTATACTAGCTATGTTTATACTCGAACTAGGTTATGATATTAGTGAACATCGGTATATATTAGCTACGCTTATACATTGGCCAAGTTATGATATGAAATGAACATTGATATATTTTACCTGGACTAATTTATGACATTAGTTGAACATCGATATATTTGCTTCCTTTGAAACTAAGTTACTTACCAAACTATTCAAAATTTCCCTGACAGATGAACAAATGAATAAAAAACCTGGATACCAGATAATAGGTAATGGTCACATAAACCCGTTTGACAGATGCCAAAGAATTGCGGTTATAGAGTATCAAGTCTTACTACAGGTATAACAAAATATGACATTAATCAATGATCCATAATAATGAAGTCAAAGGAAAGTGAAGCCTGCAACACAGCCATATTCTCCCTACAGTTATTCCACAGACCATATATAGTTGACCTTTTAAATTACCTATTCATGAAAACTTGATATTGATCAAAGAACCCTGGAGATTAATATATAATACACCTAATACTAGTAGTCGTTCTTTACACCATTTATATTTAAACAATTACTACAGTAATTGTGAAACTGACCTATTCCCAAAAACTTCACGTTCATTATTGAATGATGAAAATCAGGTCAACCTCAGCACATGTTCATGTGTAAAGGGAATGTTTCTCCCTATAAAAGGGTATACCCAGACGTGTCACTGGTATGGGTCACTATTGTAATGTCAAATATATGAAGGGCGGATTCATGCGGGGCCTTGAGGGGCGTGCCCCTCCTCCCAAACCCATAAATTTGCAAAGCATGGGTTGTCCTCAGCTTATTACAGAATATTTCGATGATTTTACCTCAAAAAATTTAACCTAAAATCCTGGATCCGCCTTCGAAATATATCAATGCTGTGAAATTCCACGTACGTAATAAAACAATGAGTAGATCTGTATATGTCAATGGGGCATACTATTCATCTTATTCTGTAAAGTTGTCAGTAAAATATGTGAACGGATCTTTATATCATCTAATAATATGGATGACCCCACGTGGTAAACATCTAAATAAGATGTCACAAAATGTCTGACAGCTGCGAAATATATAAACGGGTTATGATTTTCCTATCACATAAACGTATGGGTATGGATTTTGGTAAAAATCAATAATGGATGGTAGTGTTTTTTTAGTCCTCAGGCGAACGTCTTTACCAATATTTGTATGCTGAGGACCCCCGTGTTCATTTGTCCGTCTAAATCAGAAACGTCACAAGAGGTTGCCCTTTGTCATATGAACCCTACCAGAAGGATATTTACACTTAACAATCAATCTAGAGACCACATGTTATTGACCCATTACTTTAAATAATTGAGAAGCTCAATTAATCAAGAAAACTTACTTATCAATGAAACATGAAAATGAGGTAAAGGTCAGATGAGCCCTGTCAGATAGATATGTATCACTACCAACCGTATATAAATCAAATATAGCTAAGCAATTTAATGATTTTTACCATGGTTAAGGTGTGGATAAATTGTAATTTTATTTTATGAGTTGTGTAATCAAGGATAGAATTAAATGGGTTTAAGATGTGCAACCCAAAACTGCAGTCTTTAAAGTTTGGTTTGATCAATTTGATGAAACCACCAAATCAATATATACTTTTGTAAATAAAAAGCTCAAGCTTCAAATTCATCCTTTCCTTCAAACTAAGGAAGGAGAGTGTGGCATTTAATAAGATAACTTTTAAGATGATTTTCTTCATAATAATATAATGCATGCACAATGTATATGTAAACTCGAGTCCTAATGAATTTCAAGACTTCAATTGTAATGCCAATAACACATTTCTTTGGTTTTTTACCTTTACTTGATCCACTCACACTTGTATATTTCCTGAGCTTTGCTGGGAATCACATTTTTTTTTCAGATAAAAGTTCATTTTCATTATTAATGTCTTCCTGTGAAGACTTTCTTTTACTGTCAGATCACTTGTTAATCATTTACTCCATCATATTAGTTTTTAGTCTGTTTAAGGAAATGTACAAAACAGGAACAAATTACATCTGCCTTCATTCTTTCACTCATGAAAATTAAACTTTAATAACAATAGAATAAATCAACACCAACACGATGATTTTACTAGCTGAAGTGGGACAAATAAAAAAAATACATTCAAACTGTCCAAGAGTTATCAACACACGCTTTGATCCAAAAGAATTGCCATTTTTGTGCATACTCAGCACGATATCATTTGATCCCAATTGTGTGACAACGAAATAAATTGACCTATAATTTATAGTAGCTGAGAAACTGATCTTATCACTAACACCTAATAAAATTTACTAAAGACTCATGAATGTGAGGACAGGTAATTGAGTCCTGTCAGATGAACATTAATCCCTAGAAATTATTCTATACACCAACTATAGTTGACCTATTGCCAGACAGAAACATCCAACCATAAGGCATCTGTTTTCAAATATAGATTATGCAGCTGATCAACATTCACAATTATAAAGCTTATATGAAAAGCTTATGCCATGGTCATGCTGACAGATAAGCATCCCTATGTCTTGCATTCTGTAACATTCCACACACAAGTATGACAAAATTAAATTAATTAGCTTTTTTAATAAAACTGGCTTTATCAAATAAATCAGTAAAAATAAGACAGTGTATATCACAAGTTAGTAGTCATGTATATAAGTAAAACTATTTTAAAATACAACCTACATTTTATATTTTGAGTAAAGTAAAACCTATACATCTAGAATCTAATTATTACAGTAAACGACACACTATACTTAAGTTTTGTTTACAATGATATATAGATTTTTTACAGCATTTATAAATGAGAAGCATGTGCTGCTTGATAAAAAGGTAAATTTAAAACATTGAACAACAAGTGTCTCAGATAAGAGAGAAAAGTTTTATTTTCTATTTATTCATTTATATTTTTTTTTTGGAAAAGGCTTAACAGGAACATACATGGCATTATTGCCACTGAATCACATACAATAAGTAAATGGGGAATGTGTCCATGGGATACAGATGATGCCCCTGCTTGCATACAACATTATCAAGGGACATAACTCAAGAAGGTAAAAGTAACGGTACCAAAATTCGAATTTGATCCCAGTTTTGTGGTAATAAGCATTGTGTGTAAGTTTCATAACATTTGGTTGATGCAAACAGAAACGAAAACATAACTCTAGAATGGTAAAAGTGACGCCACCAAAAACTTAAACTTGATCTGTGTTTTGTGGTAATAAGCATTGTGTATAAGTTTCATAACATTTGGTAGAGGCAAACTAAAGTTAGAGAACGGAAACCAATTTTGGGATGTACAGACGGAAGGACTTACAGACGGACAAGGGTAAAACTTAATGCCCCCTCCACTACGCCGGGGGCATAAAAATGTGTCTTTTTAAAATCATCATTTTCCCAAGCTTGAAAAGATTTGGATTTAAGTTTTAGTGAAATTCATAAATATCTAACCAATCAATAGGGAATCTCCTATTTCCTTATTTAATAACCAATCAAAAACAAAATGTAGAACTTATAAAACTAACCTCTATTGATTATTTGCTTTCTTGTTTAATATCTGACTCATCCAGTTACTTCTCACAAGAAGATGAACATGTGATTTCAAATAGGGGTCAATGAGAACCTAAATGGTGTCATTGCTGACCTTCATGACATCCAATCAGAACTCAATGAGGATCTTTATGAATGGTTTAAAATTCAGAATCATGAATTGCCTGTAATGGCAATTATTTTGCCTGTTTGATTCTATGTTTTCTTTCAAAAAAACACTTAACATTAACTTGAGATGGTTTAATGAACATATTAATTTCTGTCTTAAAAAGTATATATTGAAAAATGTTATCCTTTAAAGTTGTTCACTGGTGACATTTACTGAACTACTTTTCATTTAAAAATTGGTTTTGTATAAAATATAAATGTACCAAAAAATATTTAATATTTAAAAAATTATCATTGATAAATAACAAAATAATAATACCTTCTTTGGTGGGTATACATATCAATTATATGGCACTTTTAAAATTAATTTTGCAAAATACAAATTGACTAGTACTTGCTATTAAAATGTCCATTTATATCTACTGTTATAAGCTTATCTCTAACAGTTTTCAAGGAAGATAATAACAGTTGGATTTCTAATTAAAAATATAAGGATTTACAAAAAGTTTCAGATGCTTACTGAACTCTTGAATAAATATTTGTACAAAATTAATGCATACATTTACAGTGCACAGCCATATCTATTTTTCACTTGTAATTTTTCACTATATAATTCACCAACAAAATTTAAAATGCAGTAGTTTAATTGTGTGCAGTCTGTTAGGGCATCTATAAAATCATATGTGTTCAGTTGTCAAGTCTTTCAATTGATCCAGCTTGTCCATCCAAACGAACATGATCTCCTAAAAAAAAGACAATTATCAGTATACTTTCTAAACCACCATAGGGATACTGTGTCACACTTAAAATTTTCATTTTAGTTTAGGTAGTTAACTGTTTTCACATAAATATGTCTCGCCTTTTTGTAATTTTGATAGTATAAAGCAAATATTGAATCCAAATGACAATATTTAAACATGTATACTATGTAAAACATTCAAAGTCAATGAACCATGATTTATGGTGCAGGACCAAATAACCCAATGGAAATGAGAAATTCAAATGCTTATAAAACTGCATACCAAATACTATTGACTTATCATAAGTGGTTCCCTTTACAATAAACTAAACACAAACTTATCATGTAAACTATGCAAAACATTTAAAGTCAATAGACCATGACTGAGGAGGTGGAGCCAAATATTTTCCAATGAAAGAGATATGCTAATGCTAATGCTTCTACATACTAAATATTATTGACTTACCACTAGTGGTTCCCTTTAAATCAAACTAACCACAAACTAATACATGCAAAGTAAGCAAAAGTTTCAAAGTCAATAGACCAGGACTGAGGGGGCAGGGTTGAATAATCTCCATGGAAATGAGATGTGCCACTACTAATGCATTAACATACCAATTATCATTGACCTACCACTGGTGGTTCATCTTAAACTGGCCTAATCACAAACTAATACATGTAAAGTAAGCAAAAGTTTCAAAGTCAATAGACCATGACTGAAGGGGCAGGGCCAAATAGTTTCCATGGTTTAATTTTGTAAAAATAAGCACAAAATTATTGCTGATATATTATTGTCATGCAAGATAAAAGTATGACCTCATTTTGGTCCATATGCATGCAATATTTGATCAGTAGGAAATGGGTTGTGCATGGGCTCAGTATATTAAGTTACATATATTTACATGTAAAACAATGATTTACATATTGTTTTCAATATATGACATGAAATCAAACAGACAAAAAAAAATCCACATTATAGACTGTGGTACACACTTGTATTAATATGTATTTCAATATCAATCACACAACCATCAGCAATTTTCAGTATTTATCTCAATAATTAATTAAAAAAAATAGAAGGCCTCGGTGGCTGAGTGGTCTAAGTACACTAGCCAGTCAACACTGAGGTTGTGAGTTCGAACCCCGCTCGTGCAGGTGCACTCGATTCCAATCTTAATTGACTTGGATTGTCAGTTTTCCTATCGAAGGTCCATGGTTTTCTCTGGGCACTCCGGCTTCCTCCACCAATTAAAACTGGCCGCCACGAAGTAACCCAATAGTGGTGCTTAAAAGTGGCGTTAGATCAAAAAAAAAAAAAAAAAAAAAAAAAAAAAATCAATAATTAATTGGCATCTAGTCCTAATATAGACACTAAATGCTGATATTGTATTATGATTTCATGCATTGTTTATTATTTCTTTGGAACGTTTGTAATTCTTGACAATATTTCAGTATGTTAATTGTTATAAATCAAATTAAAGAGTTGGGGGCAATACATTTGGAAGCTAATACCCCTTTAGTTCAGCTTGAAGAAATTTAAGTCAGCTGACCTATTAATTGTACAGGCACAATAACACTGGATATAACAAAAAAATATAACTGTATACTTACCTGACTGAAACATATTAGTTGCATTAGGTACATTAACTATGCACGGTAAACCAAATTCTCTGGCTACAACTGCTCCTGCGAGTAATCAAATTGAAATGTACAGTTATTGGTTTGAATTACCTATTTTACTACCAATACCTATCGTGACTTCTCAATTTAATTTTGAAGATATATCAACAACTGATCATAAGGGAAGGTTATGGTGGAACTGCTTTACTAGTCTAAAACATCTGTATCTGTTGCATCTATAGGAGTCATTCCAGTAAAGGAAAGGTACAACACAAACATTGTAGTACTGGAACCGTACTGTCATGGGAATAATAGATTGGGTTGGGATCTTAACTGTTCTGTCATTATTCTTCACATTATTTTATATCAAGGGATGGGCCATTCTCCCTATAGAGAAATTGAAAGATTTAATCATTGTAATTTCGTAATATATATGATTTAGGGTTAGGGATCTGAAACAGTTCTTGATATTCTTGAATTCAATATACAAGGAGGCATGCTTAAGCCTTAGGTGCACAGTAAATGTTTCTTGCCATGGCAAACCATAGCTGTCAACTGACCCGTATTCTGCGGGTTACACCCGAGAATTTCCCCCTTCACACAGGATTTTTTAAATACCCGCAGGGTAGTCAAATAATCCAAGATTTTAGAAAATGACCTGTTTTCACCCATATTTCTGACCGGTATTGTTTCCGGTATTTAGAAGTCAAATATACTTTCGGTTTTCTCGGTGATTTTCCTTTGAAAAGGTAAACAATTCAAATTAGAATTTGCTTATTTATCGTGCCAATGACAGCTATCAAAACATTACATTTGATTGAAAAGTAACAATTCGAGGATCACTTAAATGTAAAAGCTTTCAATCAAATCCATATGCTCTAGATATTACACTGAAAGAAAACACACTAACTTCTTTCTATTTATCTTCATCCTGTGTATAGGAGCACATTAGTTATAATTGATTTCTAATTACATGTATAGCTGGGGTTTATGACATTCATTAATAAAAAGAAGTAAACTAGTGTGAATAAAACAACTAGAGGCTCTCAAGAGCCTGTGTCGCTCACCTGATTCTACTTTGGTTTTGGAAATCATGTAAAAATAGATTAAAATCATAACAGATACCCTAATAATGAGTGAGGCCAAATTTGGTTTAATATTGGTCCTGTAATTTAATAAAAAATCCTGGTGGCCATCTTGAACAGAAAATCGGCAACAAAGTAGCAACACTTCATCAGCACCTCATAAGAAACATTTATGCCATGTTTTGGTTTCATTCCATTCAGTGCACCTCTAGAAGAAGCATTTGTATGTATTTCCTATAGGGTCTCAGGTTAAAGGAAGTCCCCCCATTGGCGGCCATCATGGATGAAGGATCAGCTTCAAAGTAACAAAACTTAGTCAGCACCTCATAAGGAACATTCATGCCATGTTTGGTTTCAATCCATTCAGTATGTGGTTCTCTAAAAGAAGACATTTGTATGTATTGTCCATAGGGTCCTTTGTTAAACATTGTCCCCATCTGGCGGCCATCGTGGATGAAGGATCAGCTTCAAATTAACAACAGTTGGTCAGCACCTCAAAAGGAACATGCATGTCATGTTTGATTTCATTCCATTCAATGGTTCTCTAAAAGAAAACATTTGTATGTATTTCTCATAGGGTCCTATGTTAAACTAAGTCCTCCGCTGGCGGCCATCTTAGATTATGGATCGGCTTCATAGTAACAACACTTGGTCAGCACCTCATAAAGAACATTCATGCCATGTTTGGTTTCATTGCATTCAGTGGTTCTCTAAAAGAAGACATTTGTATGTATTTCCCATAGGGTCCTATGTTAAACTAAGTCCCCCGCTGGCGGCCATCTTGAATGATGGATCAGCTTCAAAGTAACAACACTTGGTCAGCACCTCATAAGGAACATTCATGTCATGTTTGGTTTAATTCCATTCAGTGGTTCTCTAAAAGAAGACATTTGTATGTATTTCCCATAGGGTCCTATGTTAAACTAAGTCCCCCGCTGGCGGCCATCTTGGATTATGGATCGGCTTCATAGTAACAACACTTGGTCAGCACCTCATAAGAACATTCATGCCATGTTTGGTTTCATTCCATTCAGTGGTTCTCTAAAAGAAGACGTTTGTATGTATTTCCCATAGGGTCCCATGTTAAACTAAGTCCCCCGCTGGCGGCCATCTTGGATTATGGATCGGCTTCAAAGTAACAACACTCTGTCAGCATCTCATAAGGAACATTCATGCCATGTTTGGTTTCATTCCATTCAGTGGTTCTCTAAAAGAAGACATTTGTATGTATTTCTCATAGGGTCCTATGTTAAACTAAGTCCCCTGCTGGCGGCCATCTTGGATGATGGATCGGCTTCAAAGTAACAACACTTGGGAAGCACCTCATAAGGAACATTCATGCCATGTTTGGTTTCAATCCATTCAGTATGTGGTTCTCTAAAAGAAGACCTTTGTATGTATTTCCCATAGGGTCCTATGTTAAACTAAGTCCCCCTTGCTGGCGGCCATCTTGGATGATGGATCGGCTTCAAAGTAACAACACTTGGGAAGCACCTCATAAGGATCATTCATGCCATGTTTGGTTTCATTCCATTCAGTGGTTCTCTAGAAGAAGTTCAAATGTAAAAAGTTAACGTCGACGACGGACGCCAAGTGATGAGAAAAGCTCACTTGGCCCTTCGGGCCAGGTGAGCTAATAAAAGGGTACTGCTTTAGAAAGATATTTAATTAATGATAAATATTTAAATACTTAACAAATACAAAAGTGATTATTTCTAGGAAACTCAGTGGTACATGTATATGTTATAGTCTATAAAAAAAACCCTCTCAATACTAAAATTGGACCGAAAAAGTTCGTACACGTTATGACCTGACATTTTCTTCTTCAATGCAGGTCATGACCTGCATTTTCAGTTTCAGAGGTTGACAGGTATGTGGCAAACACAAATGTATATGCTTTTGGGTTCAACATGAAAATCTTCCTCAACTAGACAAAGATGATGCCCCATGGTGAGCATGAATTCAGTTCCACAAACATTAGATTTAGTAAACAGAGATGTTGGAGTAGCAGAGTGTGATTTGGACACATGAGGTTTGTATGTTTTTTTCATTTTGTATACCATTGTATGTATGTTTTACTTAATTTGTATTTTATCAGGAAAGTGTAGATATCATTATGTTTTACTATACTGTATGTAGTATAAATTACAAAAATCTTTTTTTGTTGGCCTCTTATTAGTTTTTTTATTTGAATCTTTTGAGTCAGTTGTGATGTAACCAGTATGTTAACCAATTATTATAAATAAGAAGATGTGGTATGTGTGCCAATGAGACAACTCTCCATCCAAGTCACAATGTATAAAAAGATCACAATTATAGGTCGAAGTACCGCCTTCAACATAGAGCCTTGGCTCACACCGAACAGCAAGGTATAAAGGGCCCCAAAATGTCTTAGGTTGCTCACACAATGTTGTCAATATAACAGAACTATAAACAACTGTTATAGAAGTGGGAGGTTTAGCTAGCTATAAAACCAGGTTTAACCCACTATTTTCTTTGGAAAATGCCTGTACCAAGTCAGGGATGTGACAGTTGTGGTCCATTCATACCTTTGGTTGATATAGTCAAGTGTTTGATTTTGTCAGGGATGTGACAGTTGTGGTCCATTCATACCTTTGGTTGATATAGTCAAGTGTTTGATTTTGTCAGAGATGTGACAGTTGTGGTCCATTCATACCTTTGGTTGATATAGTCAAGTGTTTGATTGTCAGGTTTTATAAAAGTCCCCATTTTTCAAAAATATCTGGGAGTTCTGTATTTTTATTAATATTTTTTTTAATGGTTGTGTCAATATCCAATTCCTATTTTAAAATTAAAACTTTTATTAAATTACGAAGAAAGAAATAATTTTCCACCAGTCAAAATTGTGCTTTTTTACTATGTAATATGCATGTGCGCAAATGTTCTCACTAGATTAGACACCTTAATCTTAAAATTCAAATAATATCATGCCAAATAAAAGGGATAAACTATTATCAGTTATATTCAAACACTTTTACAGGTAATAAAATTTTAAAAAATATGATGATTTCCTGTCATTTGATAAACAGAATGTACCTCATATATGAATTATGATTAGCTTGAAACTTAAGGTTTTTATTTTGTTTCTCAAAATGGATAGAAGAGTGGTCAATTCCTGAGAAATTTACTGTTTTGTCATTGCTTAAAATCATTTCAATATTAAATTGAGTATTTCATCTATCGTTCTTTAAAGTTTTTATAAAAATAATAAGAAATTTCATGAAGTTAATGAAATGGTCAATACAAGTTTGTTGATGCAGTGAATCAAGTGTGAATTTTACAGATTGAAAAAAGGACCCAAACTTTCAAGTCATCTCAAAATGACTGAGATTTTGAGAAAAACTCTGGATCCTTGGTCAAGAGGTTACACTTGTTTTGTCCTTTTGACGATTTTTTCACTCTACATATCGAGACTAATTGATTACTACTGTAAAAAAACAAAACAGCTGATGTAAACATTTTGTTTTTTCTATAGAATACTAACCATGTGACACAAGTCCACCAATTTCTGTGACCAGTCCTGAGATCAATGGAAAATATGGGGACCAACCAATATCTGTATACAACACTATCAGTATATCACCAGCCTAGAAAGCAATACAGTGTACATTTAAATCAATTATAACAATTTAACACATTTACTCCAAAGCTTATATGTGGAGATCACCCCAGTTTTTAGTGGGGTTCGTGTTGCTCAGTCTTTAGTTTTCTATCGTGTTTTGTGTACTGTTGTTTGTCTGCTAGTCTTTCTCTTTTTTAGCCATGGCATTGTCAGTTTATTTTCAGCTTATGAGTTTGAATGTCCCTTTGGTATCATTCACCTCTGTTTTAAGTTTCTTTTATTTTCATAAAAGATATTTTGTTATTATTTACAAAGCAAAAGTATTTAAAACCCTATTTAAAAAGCTTACAAACTGCATAAGTTTCAAGGATTCTTTACGTTGCACAGTTTCAGGGATTTATTTTAGATGTAGCATATTTAGCTATTTTAGTCTGACATGTTGAAATCAGGGTTTTTTTGTTTCTGTTGTTAACTTTTTAAGATTTTAACATTGTATAGCTGTAGTTTATCCACATCACAATTAAGGAAACTCATTTCATAATCTTTTTCTTAACTTTTTAAGATTTTAACATTGTATAGCTGTAGTTTATCCACATCACAATTAAGGAAACTCATTTCATAATCTTTTTCTTAACTCCTTTAGTATCAATGTGGTTGAAAACTGCTTGGTTGATTTAAACATTAGGTGACTAGCTTATAGGGAGGTAAAAATGCAGTCTGAACTTAGGTGGAAAATATCTGAACCAAAATGTAAGTTAAAGAAATAAATTACCCTAATTTAATAGATAAATGAAGGAAATGGGGTATCCATCCATGACACAAAATCAGTACACAGTGAGGCCTTCAACACAGAGCAAAAAAAATGTGGATAGTGTCCACATGTGGACACAGATGATGTCCCTGCTTGCATATCATATAGTTATAAAGGGACATAAGTGAAGAACGGTAAAAGTGACGCTACCCAAATTTGAACTTGATCTGAGTTTTGTGGTAATAAGCATTGTGTATAAGTTTAATAACATTTGGTTAAACCAAACTAAAGTTAGAGAATGGAAACGAAAAATTCAGCAATTTTTATGTTTATAAAGGGACATAACTCTAGAATGGTAACAGTGTCGCCACCAAATTTCGTACTTAATCTGTATTATGTAGTAATAAGCATTGTGTATAAGTTTCGTAACATTTGGTTGAGGCAAACTAAAGTTAGAAAACAGAAACAAAAAATGTGTACTTGATCTATACATGAATATTGTGTATAGGTTTCATAATGTTTGGTTGGGGCAAACTTAAGTTACAGAATGGAAAAAATTTTGCAATCTTTCTATTTATAAAGGGGCATAACTCAATAATGGTTAAAGTGACACTACCCAAATTCAACTTGATCTGTGTTTTATCAGTGGAAGTCAAAATTAAACATTGCATTGTATAAAGCTTTGACTGTAGTTGATTCAACTATAATCATGGACAAAGGAAGATAACTCCAATTTTAAAAATTACTTGATAATTAGAAGAAAATAAACATTTTGCAATTTTTCCATTCATAAAGGGGCATAACTCTAGAACGGTTAAAGTGACACCACAAAAATTCAAACTTGATCTGTGTTTTGTGGTAATAAGCATAGTGTATAAGTTTCATAACATTTGGTTAAGGCAAAGTTAAGTTAGAGAATGGAAACTAAATATTTTGCAATTTTTCCATTTATAAAGGGGCATAACTCTAGAACGGTTAAAGTGACGCCACCAAAATTCAAACTTGATCTGTGTTTAGTGATAATAAGCATTGTGTATAAGTTTCATAACATTTGGTTGAGGCAAACTCAAGTTAGAGAATGGAAACCAATTTTGGGACATACGTACGTACGTTCATACGTACGAACGGACAAGGGTAAAACTTAATGCCCCCACCGCTACGGCGGGGGCATAAAAACTCTCACCTCACTGCAAGTTTAAGACGGCCCCTAACACCGGCCTGATCGGAATTCTTTGCAAAAATAATTTGGATAGACTTTATAAGATGTTACACCACCTAATCAGTCAGGCCCGGTCAAAAAAGAACATAATATTTAAAACAACATAGTTCCTACGCATAAGGGTAAATCTTAAACTATGTAGCCCATTTTTCCATGTGCTAAATGTTTTATGCTTTCAAGTTAGTGTTCATGTCTGACTCAGAGGCAAAATGGTCAGTCTTTTAAGCTTCAAAGTAAATCGAATGTGCTTTATATTATTAGAGAAATTCAAATGACTTATGGCGTATTAGACACTAAAGGTTGTTTCTAGTGGTATCCAAAGCTGTCAAAATACGGCAAAGTATAAGATTTAATGGTGAATTATACCCAACCTGACAAAATTATTCCTGAATAAAGTAAGAAAATGTGGTATGATTGCCAATTGTAACTATCCGCATAAAAATCAGTGTTTATCATTATAATATTGGAATTAGAATATTCAGTAGTAGCCTGACTATACCTGGATGTCATCAGCTTCTGGAAGACTTTTCACAACTCTACACACACCAGTAATAACACCATGACATACAGGCATGCCTACAAATAAATATTTGAAACATATTTTGACATTTAAAAGTGTGAAAATGTTCATATTCAATATGAAAATAGTTCACTTCTACACAAGAAAAAGTAAAAAATAAATGAATAAAAGAATGTTTTATCCCTCTCTTACACAATAAGCCACTTAAAAACCATTAAAAAATATGTCATATTGAAAAAAATATCAACATGGTTTAATTTTTAAAACATTTCACAATATCTGCAGGTAGAAGCTCAAATTGTATTTTAGTAGACCAGGTTCTTTTACAACTTTGCCCATTTTATTTCCTGAAAGGTTATTTGTAGATAAGTGTTACGTCATTGCAGTCAATTTTATAGGTAGTGATAACTATAGTGCCAGTCCTAAACTGAACTTCAAAAAATTGTCTCATTGGCAATCATATCAAATCTTCAAATTTGTATAAGCAAACCCTTTAAAACATCAATTAATGGAAAAAGTGATTGACGAAATTTGTTTTATTTCAAATAATAGAAGGAAGTTATTCCTTACAGAAATTTTTTACAATCACAATATGTCACCTTTCAGGGAAAATGTTGCTGTTCTTTGAGCAGATAGATCTTCATTTTGCATCTGAAATTACCAAAGACATTCAATTAATACAAGAACACTGAACTCTCAAAAAGTTTCATACAGGAGTACAGGGCAGTAATTAAGGGTCCAATTTGGCTCCTAATATTAGGTTCATATGTGTTTTAATTGATGCATCAATGTGTGAGAAAGTGAAACAGAATGGTTCTCATTGATTTCTACTTATAAAACATTGACATTTACACCTAAAATGAGCCAAAAAAGAAAAGATTTTGGTTATACTGACAAAAATTAGTGGATTTCAACTAAATTAGGCATGTTTAGGCCTAGGAAACATAGAGCACAAATTCAACACAGCAAATAGTCAAGTCAGAGAGGTTATTTGTTATAACAAACATGATATTAAAATATATTTCTACCTCATATATTTCATGTATTAATATGTATTTTTAATGGTTAACAAGAGACACAAAACTCCTACATCCACTTGAAAACTGTCAAAAGACTAAGACATCCTTTATTGCTAATCGTTCTTGCCGTTTTCAGTCTAGTATTGCTAATTGTTTTTGCTGTTTACAGTCTTGTATTGCGAATCATTCTTGCTGTTTACAGTCTAGTAAACTAATTGTTTTTGCTGTTTAGGCATCAGTCACATAGGCATTTTGGTAAAACTTGTACTTCTGATCATTTTTCACTGTTTATAGTTTCTACCTATCTATTATAACTTTCCAGTTAATAGACAAAAACCTTGAAAACAAGTAAATCGTCATTCAGGGGCAATCACATTCTCTAAGGAGTCATTATGCATTTATTTGTTCACATAAGCATTTTTGTAGATCTTAAATTGATCATTTTTGTAGTAACCAGCCAGCTTCTTTTCCAAGGAATGAACAACTATTTATTCAGATTAGGCAGAATAACAAGGTTTCCATATTAAAGGAAAAAATGTCCATCCTTTCATTTACAAATTCAGATTATAAGAGCATACATATAAATCTGTATATATGCAGTTACCTGAACCATCAAACCTCGCATTAGTACTTCGACAACCGCATAGGGGTGAGGGAAAAAACATAATGAAAGAAAATGTAAACAAAAGTGGAAATAAGATAGTGGTAATTGATTCTTAAAGAAAAATTTTAATACACCAAATCATTTAACAACTATCGAATGGAAACTCATGGAAAATAAAAAAAAAAATCAAACATCTCTCTATTGCATGTCTATTATCTCACTAAGTTTTTTGCATGCTTCATGATTCTGTGTTGATTGTTTATTAAAGTCACGATCAATAAACTTATCAGTAAACTTCGGCAATAAAACCCAAAATTTAGTTAGCACACAAAGTTTTCACTGATTGAAATATTTTTTGTTGATTATACATTATGGATTAAAAGTAAATGTAAAAAAAAATTGTGCATAAAGGACTAAGTTTATTATATATACATGCATTGATTCAAAATCTTCCTTAACATTATAATTTCAGGAAACTCATTTCATATGACTTTTATTTATCACTCAAGACAGAAAAGTTCCTATATACATTGATAATGTGTGATAAATGTGATTTCATATGATATGAAAACATAGTATTTACAAGGTAATTTGTGCAAGGTATACAAGGTTTTATAGAAAATTATAGATAAAAATATTCCCTGAAAATGTCATTGAAGGTTTTGATATTTTATAAAAAAAACTTTCATCTTCTCATATAAGATACTCCACCGTCAAGAAAATTATATACTTCATAGTAAGAAATTTTTCTGAATGAAAATTCTACTTGGTCTTTTGGTTGCCAGGAATATCTAGAAATAATGTATTCAGTGAAAAAAGAGGTATGCTAAAAGTCTGTTACTTCAGTTAAAATACCACAACTATATTTCACAAATATAACTATATTAAAAATAATCATTAATCTATTCTAACATTAAGACTTCCCATTTATTGAAAAAAATACTTCAAGTTCTTGGTGGTGGAATTAAAGTTTAGGAACTGCACAGAAATATGAAATAAGAAACTGTGTGAATAGAATTCATGTTGAAGGTAGCAAAAAATGGAATTAACCAAAACTAAACTAAACTTCTTTTAAACTGAGTTTTACTGTGCGTATTGTTATGTGCTTCTTTATTCTACATTGGCTAGAGGTATAGGGGGAGGATTGAGATCTCACAAAACATGTTTAACCCCGCCGCATTTTTGCGCCTGTCCCAATTCAGGAGCCTCTGGCCTTTGTTAGTCTTTGTATGTTTTTTAATTTTAGTTCATTTATAAGTTTTGGAGTTTAGTGTGACATCCATTTTCACTGAACTAGTACACAATTTTATTTAGGGGCCAGCTGAGGACCACCTCAGGGTGCAGGATTTTCTTGTTGCGTTGAAGACCCATTGGTGGCTTTCCGCTGTTGTCTGCTCTTTGGTCGGGTTGTTGTCTCTTTGACATATTCCCCATTTCCATTCTCAATTTTGAATATAGTTCTTAGCTTTTATATCTTTGTTTCTTCCATTTTCTAAAACTTAACAACTGTGAGATGGAATGGGAAGATAAATCAACAAATTAAGTTTACTTGAGTTAGAATCTACAAACAGTTCATAGATAAGAAAAAATGTCTTGCTAAAATGTTAAGTACTGGTATAAAAGAATTTTACCTGTGGCATATGCATTGAATCTTTAAGTCTACCAGGAATTAAACTGTATTGCACTTTAGTCTAACACAGGTAAAACATTAAACATCCATTTTATAATGTTATGGAATATCTTGGCCTCACATGTATTTCATGGCAAGAGAAACTGTTTTACTATATTGCTTAAGGGAGGGAAGATTCCAACCACGGATGGTTTGAAGGCTCATGCATCTTACAATTGTTTAAACAAAAGATGTGTATTGGTTATTAAAATTTTGACTAAAATTTCGTAGGAACAGAAATATGTATGAATCTATTATTCCATAAAATATTTCAATGAATTTTATATTATTTAATTTTGTTCAGTACTTACAGGAACAGGTTTGCCTACATTCATTTTGTGAAATTTGAGCTCCATCTGTGTGGGAAACAATTTTTTTCTTCTTACAGATCTGTAATTACACAAGTATCAAAATATAATTTCAATTTATCAGTTTTCTACAAGGTCACTTTAACAATTTTTGGTTTATTAATATCTATGGGAAAGGAAATTTCTTACTTTTAAGATACCATTCAAATAATAAATCAAGGAAGATATGAACACACACAGGAATAAATTTACTTCAGTACTTCATGAAGACATCACAATTGACTTTGTTTATTGATTACTAATGTTCCTTGGAAGACGTATGAAATTATTATCACTGAATATTAAGTTCAACTAGTGTTTTTCATCTGTTATGAGCATCTAGCAAAACCTTTCTGTAACTATCAAGATGGAGCAATACTAGTTTCTGGATACTATCATCTCATAAACATATCCCACCTTTAACAGCTAAAGCATTACTAGTATTAGGGTAATGACATTTCTTAAAACTGTACTCCATATCCCTTTTCAAGGTCAAGGCATGTAAGCAATAAAAAATTCGTGATCAAAGAATAATATTTCATGTCAGCTTAGTTGTATTTGGTTGCCATTTACCTATGCATATCACTTAAACCAGTCACAATTAAGGTTAGGATTCACACTTGATCTAGTCATTACAGTAAAGGGAAGGATGTTGGTTTTAGTAATAGTGCGAGTAGCTGACTTTATACACTTACTTAGAAATGAGTTTAGGAGATCTGGTTTCTATTAGTTTTCCTATTTCTGTATGAGTCATAAAGAACAATAATTCCCTCTCTGGAAGTCTGCCCTATAATGAAAACACAAAATAAAACATTTTATGTGATGGCTGTTTTATATTATAACTTATAATATGCATTGTTTTTTATTATTTTTAGCATAAATAAAGCCATTGGTTTTCACTTTAGAATTGTTTAACATTTTGTTATGCTGGTGCCTTTTATTGCTTACTATACAAATGGGTTTTGCTCATTGATGAAGGCATTGTTGTGACCTATGGTTATGTACATCATGGTACTTTGGTCTCTGAAAGATTTTTGTCTCATTGGCAATCATACCATACTATCTGTATACTGACAGTCTATGAATTAGTAAAACTTCTTCCTGAAACTTATGTCACAAAATGATTCAGATAGTTAAACTAGAAATGTATTTCTGTCGCTTCTAGAACTTTAAAATTGTTGGTCCTCAGGACCACAGATGTTTGAATTGCTGCCAGGTCAAACATGATTCAAATTAGATAACATGATAAAGTAAAACATAGTTTATATGAATTAAAAAATAGGCAACACCAACCCAATAAGTTACATATGAAGAGCAATGATGGAGGTTATCTTATGAATGCCAACTTTAAAACTGAAAAAATATAGCATACACCTCCAACACAGGGATATGCTACTTTAGCTTATCTCAACTATCCCTATCCCTACCCTAAAATTCTCCTCATAATAAAGGTTAACTTACTTCTTTGACCATCATCTCAGCTAATGTCCAATAAGCTTCTTTAAACTTATCTGCAACTTTAATACTTAAAGACTAAAAGCAAAGAAAAGGGTAATTTAAGATACAAGTCTTTGAAAGTTTATTGACTGAAGACCATGAACCAAGCCTAAAACAGTCTAAAAACTTATTTAAGATTGAAAATATTAAAATCACAAGCAACTCATGAAAGGAATAGTACAAGTTATGGCGTTTTACTTTATTTTGCCACACAGATGTTGTGATGTGTCCAATCCAAAAAATGAATCTCATGATTTATCTTATAATTGAAATAAGATTTTTTACAAGTGTTTCTATTATTTGTGTTCTTTTTCCTATGAAACTGCCTCATGCTGCACAATAGTGCTTCAGGTTTGTACACCCTAAATGTTTACCAGAAGAAACATATTTAATCAAAATGATCACTTCTATACCTCTCTGAAATCATTAAAAACAACTATTTCACTGCTTATTAAAGTTACCTTTTCAATATTGTGACAAATTTCAACAGATTCCAATTAAAAGTCAAACTGTGAATTTCTAGATAGAACGAATAGTTCAGCTTCTATGAAAAGAACTTAAAGGGAAAGTCCGCGATTTTTTACTTATCATCTAAATATGTTCATCTTAACATAAAAAACACATTCACAAAGTTTTAAATTTATATTCTTTCTAATAACGGAGAAAATCAAGTATTTGTAACTTTTTTGGTTGACCTACGTCACTGGGTTGTGACGTTTTAACCCGATTTGTTGAATCATGGGAAAAAATAAAATCTGTTAAAGGGTTAATTGCTTATCAGAATTTTACGTAATTAAAAGCGCACAGATGACCGTTGGTCGTAGTTAATAACCACAATATAAGAATGAAAGAAAATGAATATGTGTGTACCGTTTTGTATTGATTGAATAAAACTTCCTATATGAAGTTATCTAAATATAAATATTTCGAATAAATTTCATAAATTATTGAGATTTTTTCATAAAATATCTATAGAACATTTTTACTGATATTGAACTGAAAATATTTTAAGTTTTATTTACCGTTATAACTTTGATTACCATTTCAATGCAAAATATTTGTGAACAGAGTGTGTATATTATTTTGTAAAGTCATTGTTTATTTCTCGATTTGAGGAGAATTCGTTTGAACTTTACCTTGCAGCAATTTAGCCTCAGGCGTACACAGGTGTGAATTCAAGCGTACACAGGTGTGTATAGTGTCATTTTGAATGGATTAACAGAAAGAGTATAGCGTTTAATATACCCAGATGAAATACCCGATGACAATAGAGAAACAATAAATAAATTGTATAAATTAATTGAAAATTAACATTCAACTTTTTAATTCCGGAAGTGTTACAATATTAAAATGGAACAATTTTCGGTTACGTTCTATTAATCCAAATTAGTAATACAGTTGTTGCATATCTTAGTAATGTATTACTGATATTGACGATTTTAGAACAGTTCGTCCCAACCTCGTTGTTCTTGAAACAATCTTTACTAGTATACTTGTAAGTTTCCTGACGTATATGCGCCATTGAGGATGAGCTCCAGAGATAGCAGACTAGTAGCGTATCTGTTTGTTTGGGCAGGATAGGCCATGCAACCACTTGTACAGATAAACAAGCTTATGTTGTCAACACTATCAGAAAGAGTTCCCATCGTCGGATGGGGTATATGAAGGTTCCAAGAATGAACTATTGACATGTCTGACTCTGAACAGTTAGTAAACGGACTTAACAATGATCTATAGACATCGATCGCTTGTTCTTGATATTTGAAACTGCATGCATATATACGTTTATGAGAGTGATTATTTATCTTGTGTCTGACGAAAACTAAATGCCTGCATGGTTATATCTTGCCATACGTTTGTATTGGTTTGGTGGGTGTTCACTCAAAATTGTAATTCAAAAATTGTGTTTGTGAGATGCAGATTCACTTCAATACCGAATTTCGTCTATATATTTCACAAGTGTATACCACGGAAAAGATCTGAAGGTATATTACTCCCATTTTGTTTGGCTGTGAACCATCGATGTTTACAGCAATATTTAATGAATAAGATGATGATGGTAGAAAGAACTATGAGCGTCATGTGGCAAATATTACATGCATGTCGGACCATGAGTTGTCAATCTGTATGAAAAGATTTCCAATACAACCATATTGAGTAGGAATTTTTACATGCTATTCTCTCGTACTAGTATTACAGGGTTCTTGTGTCGTTTAACTCGGACACACATCTTTTACTTTAAGATGTATGAAAGGTTCTAAATATATATATATATCTTAAATGTAACAATAATCAAACGCCTATAGGCAATCACTAAAATGGTATGAAGTTTTTATACAGATTTATTCTTATTTACACAATCATTAACAAACTAAATAAATTTAACAAAGTAACACCGTGATAATACGATATAACAAATGGGATACTAATTATTTTTAACCATGCTATGCAGAAACTTTACACATCAAGCAGGAACATATATATTAATATACTGTTCCCAGCATCAAGTTAGTGCACATGAATACCAATTAGGTACACGATGTGTGATTTTGTATAGCTAAAAATATCAAAGCGAGCAATAACTTTGTCAAGCAAACATTTGTTTTCACTATGCCTCTCTTTATCTCCGCTCCTTTACAATAACTATTTCGCTTTTCGTCGATCATTCTCAATATTGTTCTCTATTCGGTTATTTTTTTTATACGAATGTAGGACAGAAAGTCACAGGACAAAAAGTCACAGACAAAAAGTCACGGACAAAAAGTCACAGGACAAAAAGTCACAATTCAGTTTTGAGATTATTTTTCTTTAAACAAGAAAACACTAATTTAGAAAATAAAATTTTTGTTTTTTCTTGAACTGTTATATATGAAGCAACTTTGTTATTAAAATTTATTCATTAAATATCAATAATAATCAAATAATTGTTATGAAAACAAAATGTCAAAGTGTCTTGGTACTTAAATGGCTTCATTGTGCCAAGAAATATATCTTTTGCATGATTCAAATTTGATAAATTTTCATTTATCAAGGCTTATGAACAATTTCCTAAACTTAAAAATAAATATATGTAATAAAAAGAAAATATTTCAAGATCTTTCTCTTATATATTCAAACAATTGTCAACAAATTATTTGTGACTTTTTGTCCTGTGACTTTTTGTCCTATCAAATTTGTGACTTTATGTCCTGTGACTTTTTGTCCTGTGACTTTCTGTCCGTTTACCGTATCCCTTTTTATACTATGCCACTCTATCTCCGCTCCTTTTTCCCCTGTCGTCCTAATCCTTATAAAGATAGAGACATTAGACATAGAAGGGGCTCTCTTATCTTCAATGAATTAATATTGATAGTGACTATAAGTGCTGCATTACTTTATATATCTGCATGTTTGCCAATCCACAAAAGCTTGTATTTGCGTGAAGAATTTTTTTTCTTCAAAAATATGGTCCAGAATCATGACAAAACAATATTCATTTCACAAAAATGTTCAAAGGTCATGTTTATAATTTTTTTTAAACTTATTATCAGTTCTCGACATATATAGTGGATAATATTATTATCAGAACATCATTCATTAAAAGGTGGAATTATAATTTCAAACACACACAAGATAAACAACGTTAGACACAAATATATGGTTCAATAAATGTTACCTGTGCACACCGGGTACCTCAATAAAGAGGCCATGCATGAACCTGTATTATATAATTGTGAAATACAAATTTTTAGTTCACAGGATGTCACTGGATTACCCAGGGACGTGTATCAAATTTACGTCCTTGGAATACCTAACTGAATGTGTCGCTCTGACACGACATCTATCAATAATTCTGACATACCTATTAATAATTCGGGAGGAAGCCAAAAAATATATATAATAAGATATAATTTAAAAAGAAAAAAAACCTATAAATTTTTCAACGATCATACCAGATAGAGTCACACATTTAACTGTAAAGCTAAGTGTCTTTATAAGTGACCGTTCCGAATTGATCCCGTATCAATTTGATATAATTTAAAGGTAAGTTAAAAAAAAACACTTTTAATAAAAAAATTGAGATGTCCGATATTTCGATATTTACATATCTATAACCTGGGAATATTATACTATATCAACATATTATGTCCCAGCTAAAACCTCTTCCTAACATTGCTCCTTGTCAATAGTCATTAAATATCATAATTAAAACTAGAGGCTCTCAAGAGCCTGTGTCGCTCACCTGTATTTACTGATGCTTTGGAAATCATGTAAAATAAGGTTAAAATCATAATTAATAGTATTAGATATTAGATATTATAATGATATCTAAGATAATAACAAAAAACTGCAAAATTTTTGTAAAATTACTAACTCAGGGGCAGCAACCCAACAACGGGTTGTCTGATTTGTCTGAAAATTTCAGGGCAGAAAAATCTAAATCTGATGAATATTTTTGCCACCTGTCAGATTTGCTCTAAATGCTTTAGTTTCAGAGATATAAACCAAAAACTGCATTTTACCCCTATGTTCTATTTTTAACCAAGTCGGCAATGATGGTTGGAAGGCGGGGTCATCGGACAAATTTTTTAAACTAGATACCCTAATAATGATTATGACCAAGTATGGTTAAATTTGTCTCAGTAGTTTCAGAGAAGAAGATTTTTGTAAAAGATTACAAAAATTTACCAAAAATTGTTAAAAATTGACTATTAAGGGCAATAATTCCTAAAGGGGTCGACTGACAATTTTGGTCATGTCAACTTATTTGTAGATCTTACTTTGCTGAACATTATTACTGTTTACAGTTTATCTCTATCTATAATAATATTCAAGATAATAACCAAAAACTGCAAAATTTCCTTAAAATTACCAATTCAGGGGCAGCAACCCAACAACAGGTTGTCAGATTTGTCTGAAAATCTCAGGGCAGATAGATCTTGACCTGATAATCAGTTTTACCCTTTATCAGATTTACTCTAAATGCTTTGGTTTCAGAGATATAAGCCAAAATCTACATTTTACCCCTATGTTCTATTTTTAGCCAAGGCGGCCATCTTGGTTGGTTGGCGGGGTCATCGGACACATTTTTTAAACTAGATACCCTAATGATGATTGTGGCCAAGTTTGGTTAAATTTGGCCCAGTGGTTTCAGAGGAGAAGATTTTTGTAAAAAGCTAACGACGACGACGACGACGACGACGGACGCCAAGTGATGAGAAAAGCTCACTTGGCCCTTCGGGCCAGGTGAGCTAAAAATGTTATTTTATATCGTATAACTTTATTAATTGAAAAATTATCTTGTCTAAATAAGGAACTATTCTTTATACAAATCAAAGCACTTTATATAAAAGAGGCATACTAATGAATCTTCTGTAAATCAGTGATTGTTACAAGAACACTGCATTTGTCTTTCTTATAATTGAAACTGTTCTTCCTCATCAATTCTATATTTTTTTTATTCAACGAGATCTTATCATATAAGGATTTGATAACTATAGCTATCAGAACTGCTAGGTTATTTTGTTATTAAAAAAGGATAATTACCATCGAATCTCCCTCAAAACAATATTGTTCAAAATGGTCTTCACACACCAACTTGTGCTTCTTATAGATGCAACTATTTGCTGTTAGTTTAAGGTTGTACAACAATGTCTGATACAATTCTTTCTTTTTTTGTGGGATTGGGAAAACTATGTAGACTTTTGTCATATCCTTGTCTGACAGAACAACCGTACACTTGACAAGACATTTGACACTGAATAACCGTCTACGGTAATCCCCAATTGATGATGGGAATTTTTAACGCACGGTCGGTAAATCCCCGATTCTTTTTGTTCTTTGTGGTTTATAGATATCACGTGACTTTTTAGATCGAACATGCCGACAAGATGGCGATATGTCGAGAACTGATAGTGAATTTCAAAAATCGATTTTGATCTCTTTACATAGAGAATAAAAGTTTTTTATTTATGAACATGTGGTTTTTTATGCTTAAAGAACAAAATATCAATTTTTCATTTTTTTGCGGAGTTTCCCTTTAATATGATCCATATATAATTACACTGTTTTCAGCAAAAACAAAAACCCAAGATTTTACCTTGCCCCATTCTCTTTGACCAACAGCTTTTCTTGCTTTTGGTAAAAATGATCTGAGTATTTTTCTACAAAAGAAAATAAGATTTATCACATTCAGTTTTACTTAGAAAACAAACAAATATTGGACAGACAGATTTTAATCAATAGTGATTGAGGAGCCAAAGACTTTTAAGGAAAGGCAAACAATGTTTTCATCCATAGCTTGAAAAAGAGTTATTTTAAAATTGATGTTTACATTCTCTTGTCAGAATTGGACAGACAGGAGAATTTATGTTTAATTTTGAGTAATTTGTTGGAATGTGAAGAATTGGAAAAGGAAGAAAATTTTCATTGAAAAAGCTTATCATAATGATCGTCATGTGACTTGATATCAATTTCTAAACATTTGCACTTTGGTGAGTAGAATAATGTAAGTTGGGTGCATCCAAAATAAATGTAAAACTACACATATTTCTTTGTTTTGATTAATTTCTTCATACAAATCCTTAATTAGCTTACTTAGCCATCCAAGGTAATGGGGTTTTGATTTGTGCTATAGCTTCATCACAGCTTAATGACTTTCTTGGTTTCTGGCTGTACAGTTTGTTCTTCAATACAACCTAAAAAGAAAATATTCTATTTGAAAAAATGTAGAAACAACAATAGGAATATTTGATACCACAGCTATGACCACCAAAAACAATCTCTAATGATTAATAAAACAGATACCAACAAAAACATCTCTTATTATACATAAAACAGATACCAACAAAAACCATCTCTTACTATAAATAAAACAGGTACCAACAAAAACCATCTCTTACTATAAATGAAACAGGTACCAACAAAAACCATCTCTTATTATAAATAAAACAGATAGCAACAAAAGCCATCTCTAATTAAAATAAAATAAAATGCTCCGCTGGGGCGCAGCTTGATACGACCGCAGAGGTCGAACCCTGAACAGTTGGGGCAAGTATGGACACAACATTCAAGCTTGATACAGCACTGAATTTGGATTGTAATTAAATATTTGACACAGCATAGGTTTCTGACACAGAATGAAAGTGGTCTAAGAACTTAAAAAATTTTAATTTACCCATTCAAACCATATCATTATTATTTGCTTTTATATATAAATCAGAAATAACCAATTTAAAATGGAAAATTTTAAAGAAAAAAAGGAAACCCCCCCCCCACCCAAATTTTTTCAACCCCCTTATGATTCATCACCCCTAAACTCAATCCCAGCCTTCCCTTTGTGGTATGGTACCTTGCAGTACAATTTCAGAGAGATCCATACACTTGAACACAAGTTATTGTCTGGAAACTAGAAAAATGCTTGTTTTTTGGCCCCTTTTTGGCCCCAAATTCCTAAACGCTTACGGGGAATTACCCCCAAACTCAAACCCAGCTTTCCCTTTGTGATATGGAACCTTGCAGTACAATTTCATAAAGATCCATACACTTACACACAAGTTATTGTCCTGAAACTAGAAAAATGCTTGTTTTTTTGCCCTTTTATGGTCCCTAATTCCTAAAATTTTGAGGGAATTACCCCCAAAATCAATCCCAGCCTTCCCTTTGTGGTATGGTACCTTGCAGTACAATTTCAGAGAGATCCATACACTTGGTCACAAGTTATTGTCTGGAAACTAGAAAAATGCTTATTTTTGGCCCCTTCTTCCTAAGCTTTTTGGTCAATTACCCCAAACTCAATTCCAGCTTTCCTTTTGTGATATGGAACCTTGTAGTACAATTTCATAAAGATCCATACACTTACACACAAGTTATTGTCATGAAACTAGAAAATGCTTGTTTTTTTGCCCCTTTTCCTTAACTGTTGGTACCATAACCCCTAAAATCAATCCTTACCTTCCTTTTGTGATATTGAACCTTATGGTAAAATTTCATTGAGATCCATTCACTTAAACTAAAGTTAGAGTGCGAAAACTAATGTGTCTTCGGATGACGACGGCCAATTTTTTTGCGGTCGTATAAAAACAGGTACCAAAAAACATCTCTTATTATAAATAAAACAGATAGCAAACATAAAATAAATAATAACATATGTCAAAATAATTTGGTTCAGGTGTAAAATGTGGAGGGGTTAAAGTAGTTTATCAGGTACCAAGATCTACCTTGATAATGAATGGGAAAAAATAAATATCAAAACTTCCTCAGTACTGGTACCATTCATAGCACTGCACTTACTTGCTTAACATCTAGTGGCAAATATTTCTTCATAACAAAAATACTGACTTGACTACATAAATCATTTAATTATCTAATATTCTTCATAACCATTCAGTAATCAGCAAAAATTATTAATAACCAACTAATACTTCTATATTTTTGGTCAATTTACAATGGCTGATTAACCTGAAAATCTTCCATCTACATAAGTTTCATGTTGAAACAACATGGGAAACCAAAGATATTACCCAGAAACCAATTTTTTCAAAAGTTTCTATTCTTAAGAACCAAGACCTTGAATTTGATCTATTAACCCCAAATTGATTAAGCTTACTTCAGTCTTTCCATTTCTCTTATTTTCCATCTGTATAAGTCTTGTTTCATTAAGCAAAGGAAACTTTAGTATGAATATTGTTCGAAGTCAGAAAAATGGAAAAAAAAACTGTTGCTGTTATTTTTTCTGGCAAAAAATTTAATCTCCTGCTGGGAAACTTCATTTGAAACAGATATTTTGGTAGTTTAAATGAAGCTTAAGGACAACATAATGTAATCAAGGGGTTGTCTTTGATTGCTACTGTCGTAATTGGTTTGTTTTGTTTTTCGTTTTTTCTTGTAATATAAGTCAGTGTTCCTTTTCTCGTTTGAATTGTTTTACATTTAGTCATCTAAGGGGCATTTATAGCTTACTATACGATATGGATTTGCTCATTGTTGAAGGCTGTTGAATGGCTGTGTTGTACACTTCTTTGCCCTTTTGTTTTGATAGATAGTTGTCTCATTGCCAATCATACCACATCTCCTTATTTTCATATTGAATAGAATGTGCAATGACAAGCAATGGAAAATTGTAACCACATATTTTTTTATATTGATTCTGGTCACTTTCTGTGACATTTATTCTCCCACATATATAGTACATGTTACCTTTAGCGACTTTACAAGCTTTTCTGGTTGTGATCGCCATGACCTTTCATAAAACTCTGCCTGTAATAAATCAAACAGAGTATGTTCCACTCCAAAACAAAAATGTGCTAATTCATTAATCAAAGCATTTAAACTTTTAAAAGCATCTATCCTTTATTTGTTTGTATCTAGGAGTTTCAACATATCGTTATATTCTTTTAAAACAAAGGTAAATGGCACAAGATTGTAAGCTTAGTGATAACATATTTCATAGATTATGCAACTTGAAAAATTTCACAGTGGTCATTTAAATACACATATCATGAATTTCAGCATCTAAAAGATTCCATTTACATGGTTAAAGACTCTGCTCATCTGGTAAAATATTAATAGTTGAACAGATGAATGAAACAGCATGGTATAAATTAGAATGTTTTTTGTAATACATATGGATCTACATAATTTGTGTACTTGCCTCTTTAACATATCTGTGGCCATGATGTTCCATAAAGGTATCAAATGATGATTTTACACTTGGGTAATCACCACTTTTTATCAAGTCAACACATTCCTTAGATATCATAGGAAAAAAATATAATCATTGTTAGAGCTGCATTTAAAAGTGGTCAAGGTTTTTAATTCACAATGTCTCAACTAATTCGGAATTTTTACCAATGAAGGACTGATTGATATTTCAGTCTAGGAAAAAAAGGTTCATTTATTTAGGTTGGAATTTATTTTGAACCAGCTTTTAGTAACGGTAGGTACTCTTAGTTTGGTACTTTGTGTTTTCGTCTTTTTGTTAGTTTTTTGTGCTTGGTGCCAATTTGACAAGTAAACAGACACAGGATCTGTATTATATCCGATTGAAACAAGAATGTGTCCATAGTACACGGATGCCCCACTCGCACTATCACATTTTCTATGTTCAGTGGAACGTGAAATTGGGGTCAAAACTCTAATTTGGCATTAAAAAGTAGAAAGATCATATCATAGGGAACATGTGAACTAAGTTTCAAGTTGATTGGACTTCAACTTCATCAAAAACTACCTTGACCAAAAACTTTAACCTGAAGCGGGACAGACGGAAAGATGAACAGACGACGAACAAACACAAAGAACGAAAAACATAATGCCCCTAGGTGGGGCATAAAAAATATTTACTTTGATTAAAGTTTAGATATCAATAAGAAACAGAACATTATTTTCATGTAAATCTGTAATGTCATAAGACAATGATGTGACATCTCTGAATTTATAGTAAACAATAGAAAACTTTGCATTTATTTGTCCCAATTGATTTAAGATGATGATGATGGATTGCTGTTTAACGTCCAGCGGCAAATTAATATGCATATTCAGGACGAGAACATGTTAATGTAATATGAATATTAACTCTGCTTTGTACTTGTGCAGGAAGACTTGTCACCTTACCCAGACACATTATTCTGACGCCGAGCCGACCAGTCTTTGCTCTTACTCCTTAAAGCCATGATCTTAGAGGAGAAGCAGCAAGTCTTTGATTTGAACTGGCCGAGTTCGAACCCAGGACCTCCTGCTCTCGAGGTGAACACGCTACCACGAGACCACCAAGCAGGAACCGATTTAAGAAAACTGATATTTTGTATAGAATGATAAATATGGTCAAAATGCCAATATGCCATACACATGCAACATATACATTTTTGATAAATTGCAGGTGAGGGTTATTGGTCCTTGAATAGTACTGTCAAAGCTGCATGTATCACACATATCTGACACTTTAAAATTATGTAAAAAAAAATTGAATTAATTGTGAAAACAGAAAGTAGAAATAATTTAAGTTTGAATAAATACAAAAATGTCTTACCTCCGAGTTACTTGACAGGAACTTTTCATTACATCCTGCATTATCTATTTCTTTTGCTAAATTCTATAAAAAGAACACACAAGTTCAACTTTTGTGTTTTGTCTCTTCACTTTGATGCTTTACATTATCTATCATGGGTTATTACAAGATAATTTATCTTGACCAAGCATGCATAGCATTTTAATTCATTATGTTCTATGCTGTCTAAGGAAAACTTTTTACAAATGGCAATCAAATAAGTTAAAGAAGTGACTTCTGACTCCTTATAAAATAATTGTTTTTACTAATTCATTGAATAGCCATTATCAGATGCGAAATAGAATGCAATGTTTAGTAAGAATGACAATATGAAACTGCTCCAAAATTTACTACATTTCCTGCATCAGCAGTTACATCACATTTTAAGTAAATCAAAGCCTGAAAGGCTGTTAAAGTAATTACTGCCTAGTTAATGTTTTTGTGACCTTTGTCTTTCATCCACATGTAAAAGAATTAAACCTGACAGGAGTCTATGTAGTGAGAAGTAAGGATGTTATAACTTTATAACAATAAAAGACTTATCCAGCAGAAAGTCCTATTTACAATGTTTTAAATCTCCCAGGGGGGGACGACACGTTTACCCTGCTTTCATTGGAAAAATATATTTGCGGAAACGTATAACTCCTGAAAATATCATAATAGATTAGCCCCTTGCAGGGTGTTTATAATACATGTACTGGGCAATATTTTACCTGACAATCCACCTGGCATCATTATCTTTACTGCTTTTATTTTAATTTTAATTATCCATGTTATCATAATTGGTTTAAATTTCACCATTCAGTTGACGATTTCAACTTTCATGAGGTGAGTGTTCTCCCAAACTATAGGTTTTTTAGAAAAAGAATCATTCATTCATGTGTACGGATTAAAGATTTGAAGATGGAACTAGCTTCTGAAATTTTCATGAAATGCACTTTGACTGTCGATTAACCAGTGAACTGGCTTACGCTTTACCCTTTTCATTACTATTGACATAGTCACATAAATTATATAACACAACATATTTTTAAATAAAGAAATTTACAGTTAAAAGTTTCATCAGAGACATATATCTGTATATATGTCTCTGATACGCTTTACAATTTTTTGCATGGTCAAGACTAGTAAGATCTATTTTAAACCATCCAATGAAAACACGCTGATCATGCATTACACAAAAACAGTGACATGACACAACATTATGAAAGTAAACGAAAAGATTAGTTGAGTTTAATTATGTCAATCAGAAACACCTTTTCAGTTCAATGTTATGTGTGTGTGTTTTTTAAAACTTCAGAATTTAAAACTCAAAACTTTTTAATTACCGAGAATTACAGGTAATCATGCCTAGAGGGTCATTATGACATTTGACAATGTCTTGAGCAGAAACCTTGATCAGTTGATTATTATATAATTTGTTTACAGAGTGGAGTCTAACAGTATCGATCAGCAAATAAGGAAGCCCTTTAATAAATAACTAGGTCCGTAATTTCTTGGAAGTATTAATAACATGGTAAGTGTAATCAGAAAGCGTAAATTGTGCTACTTTTCAAACAAATAATGTGAGATTAGATTACATTACTATAACATGCGTAGTAATTTTACGATAATTTTATGAATGAACAAGAGCAAATTGTCCTCTTTCAAAAAGAAAGATGAATTTAAATAACATAAAACCGTATAAGGGATAATTCAGTAAAATTTTCAATATTAAATCAACAACTGACATGATTGAATATTTTGTTGAAACATCTCAAAAATGAAATTGCAGGTATAAAAATGCACTTTTTCACTCGGACTTCTACGTTCTTTTATAGTTAAATGGTTGTCACCTTAAATACAAGAATACATCAACAAGAACATATGTTGAAACTTCACAAAACCCACTGTTGTTTTTCAACTGTTTTCATTTATGTATGTCATAAGAAAACATACATAGGACTTTAAGAATGAGGAATCTGCTCAAAAACTTTGGCTTGATCTGGGTCATAAAAAATGGCCATATGCCATAGCATTAAAGCAATTGCTTTAAAAGAACCAAATATTTTCATTTAAACTTTAAAAGTTGGTGGTTCTCCCCAGGTACTCTGGCATGATAAGGCCAAGATTTCTGAAAGGGGTGTTAAACACAAACAAACTAACAAACAAACAAACTTTACTGAATGCAACTGATTTCAAGCCAATACAAGAAACCATGTGTGAATTATCAGGTTTAAATTTTAAGAAAAAAAATCTCTGAACATTCAAAACTTGTGATCAATACTATTGAACTTGGGAGTACAAATATATGCCCATATACTTTCAAATTTAATAGTTCTAACAAAAAATGCCTAAAAAAGACTGTCATACAAAAACTTCCCCAAAGTATTGTGATGAGGTGAAGTCTCCTCTAAACATTTCAAGATATGAATGGTTATGTATTCAGGACAATACAGTACTTAAAATCCCAATAGAAATATAAAACTAACCTGTATAGCAATAGGAACTTCTGCACTGTATACTTCATCACACTTAGACAATAATAATGCCACATCAGCACACACCTCTGTTGTGTATTCTATAATAAATGTGTGAAACTGTTAACATACATTTGTTCCACCTAACAAGAGTTCGCCTGGAAACTTTGTTATAAATAATGCCATAATATATGTTCCTGTTGAAACAAATATTGTATTCCCTTTATTTCGTAAAGAATAAATTCTGTAATATTTGTTCCAGTGGAAATAATATTACAGAATATTTCTTTCTTCAATTTGGAACTTATATTATGAAGGAACTTCTATTTCATGACAAATATATATATGAACACATAATCATGTTAACAGGAAAGTCGGAAATGTTCTAACAATAATTTCTTCATGTTTACAGGACATTCATCTTCTTATAGTTAAATATTGGTCATTTTGGTTTGAAAACAGGGAGACTTTTTAAAGGGTGACTTGCTTTTAGACAAATCAGAACAAAAGATAGAATCCTTATGAAAGACAATTCTTGCCAAATTTGATACAAATCTATCATTTAGTTTCATAGATGACTATTACGCATTATTCCATTAAGGTGGCACCATTGCTGTCAAGTTTGCTACTTTATCAAAACAAAGTTACAATATGAGGAATGTATATATACCATTATTTGGAAGTTTGAAATACTGAAACTGACCAATCAAAATCAAGAATTTCTAATGGTGGTCAGGTATTTTGCTTGTAAGTAACATATGTCAGATAACCTAAATAGTGAAATTTGAAATAACTATGGCAATTTTTTATACAAAATATTTATAATTTGCAATATTAATGAATAAATATCTTGCAACTATATATCATAATGGTTATAGGACTTGGTTAATATCATTTAAACTGCTGACACAGAAATATGTCTTGTTTGTGTGTAATACCAATAGTAAAATGTGAATGTTGAAATTTAAATGGCAACACTTTGTAAGGAATAACAACACTAATTCATAGCCCCCTTGCTTTCTATGATAACTTCTGCACCTTCAAGCATTCATAGCTATTTTGTCTTAAGTTTAAATAAAGTGGTAGTCATTTCATGTCAAAACTATACCTTATCCTGACTTGTGCTAAAAAAAATCAACATACCTTTAATTGCATATTAGAGCACACTGGTTTCCGAAAGTTGTGTAGTACAAAAACAGGTACAGGTACTTCTGATCTGAGCAACAGGGCAAATATGCCCTCCTATCTTAATTTCATATTTTTTTTATTATTCAAAAGCAACTTTAACAAGGGTTCTAAAGTGATCCCAAGTCCTTTAGCTTTCATTTGATACCAAAATTCCCCAAATATTTTACTTATTGACAACGTTACAGCTATGCGTAGGAACTATTTTGTTTAAAATATGTACTACTTTCTTGTATGTTCTTTCTGACTGGGCCGAATTAGTGGTTCTATACCTGTAAACTATGGAAAAGTTTCTGTCAATGAACCACCACTGAAGTGGCAGGGCCAAATAATCTCCATGAAATGAGATGTGTAAATTATAATACAAATGCCTACCAAAAAGCAGTGACTTTAATACCACTAGTGATTCCTCTTCATGTGACATAATCACAAACTTTTAACAATTATTTCAACTGAAACACCATGCCTAAGTCTCACCAATGCAACTTCATCAAGCTGAGACAAAAACAGATATTAATTCTTACCTGTTTTGCCTTGTAGTAATATTCCTACTACAACAGCAGCCCAGGTTCCTGACTGACCACTTTTAATCATAGATGTCTCCCATATCTACAAAATTGTTCATTATTTATAACCTTTGGAAAAAATATACTTAAGATTTTGTATGCCTTATGGTTAAATAAACTTTTTTACTCATGTCATTGAAAGCCCTAGAACAAATTTATCATCACGCCAGAACAATATGGTAATTGAAAGGGTTCTGACTTGAAAGAAGTTTGATTTTTCTATAGAATGTAAATACATCCCACTTTGAAAATTTGGGACTCTTATTAGGTTATTAAAACAAAGGGAAATTTTATATTTTGTCATTATACATAACATTTGCTGTAGTTTACAGTCATTGTAAATAACATTTGCTTTAGTTTACAGTCATTGTAAATAACATTTGCTGTAGTTGACAGTCATTGTAAATAACATTTGCTTTAGTTGACAGTCATTGTAAATAACATTTGCTGTAGTTGACAGTCATTGTAAATAACATTTGCTTTAGTTGACAGTCATTGTAAATAACATTTGCTTTAGTTGACAGTCATTGTAAAATAACATTGGCTTTAGTTTACAGTCATTGTAAATAACATTTGCTTGAGTTTACACTCCTAGTATTATGTGACAAAAGACAATCACCTGATCAGGATTCATTCAAATACAATACATTTATTCCTTAAAATCAAGAAACTGCAAAACAACATCTGTGTTTTACGGTAAAACTTTTACCTATTTAATAAACTTTTATAGACTCTATGTAGATCTAACAGTTCTACTAACATGTTTACCTCATAATAATCTTTGATCCTACTGTTCAAGTCTGTATAGAATCCAGCACATGAAGTCTGACCTTCACCTATCTTATATGTCTTAACCTTTTCATACCAGGATTCACATACATCTGTCCTCTCCTTATATTTCTGATAAAATAAATAATAACATGATTGCTACATAGAAGCCAATGTCTATACCCATAAACTGCATTTTTTTAAGCCAATGTCTATACCCATAAACTGCATTTTTTTACATATCACTTGTATTTCTAAGGGGCATAATTCCAATTAAAATAATCAATCTGCAATAGTTTTCAAATTCAAATTTTATTTAAATTTCGATGGAAAATGAGAGGGCTTACAATGTTGATATTCAATATCAACTACATTTTAAAGGGGCAAAACCCTCCAAAAATATTCAATCAACTATGATTTATTTTATTCATCCCATCTAAAATATTGATGATGTAAACAATGAGAAATGCAGCTGTGCGAGTTCTTACAATATAAAAATAAGGACATGTGGTATGATTGCCAATGAGACAACTATCCACCAAAATTCACATGAAGTGGATGTAAGCTTTTAAAGGCAACTGTACTGCCTTCAACATTGAGAAAGTGTTGATTTTCCATATCATTTATTTTTCAAAGTGCATAACTCCCCCAAAAATATATTCATTCAAACTGATGTAAACCTTTGACATAAATTTCATTAAATTCTGATGAGAACTGGTGTTAGTTAGAGCAATTATATGTTGATTTTCCATATCATTTATTTTTCAAAGGGCATAACTCCCTCAAAAATATATTCATTCAAACTGATGTAAACCTTTGACATAAATTTCATTAAATTCTGATGAGAACTGGTGTTAGTTAGAGCAGTTATATGTTGATTTTCCATATCATTTCCATTTCTAACAGGAATGTCAAGAAAGAACAAAAAAAAGATCAGCTTTGACACAAATTTTACTAAACTTCAATGAGAACTGTAGGTTTGATATAGTGCTTACAAACTCAGATGGACAGAAATCAGTATTTCCATATTCCTTGCTTTGTTTTGTGACAAGGGACAAATAAATAGCTAAATATAAGCATCACATAACACATGAAAGCATTCATAATCTTCCCACATTTTGCCAATGTTAAAGACCCATAACTTCATAAGTGGGGTTATTTTCTGATTTATAGGGCATATAGACATTAGGATTGGTTCTATAAAATAAATGTTTAGGAATTCATGATAAATGTATAGACATGATAAATATCTATATAGCCAAATATCTACATGTGTGTTTAAAAGAAAAGTTGCCAAGCTGCATGAAATATAGATGAAATTCTCAAAATTCACATGTATCAACAGACAAATAGAAATTCACATTTGCATTCTTCAGAGAAAAAGATATGGAAATCTAGTCATTAATGCAAATTTGCAGATCTGACATTGTTGGGCTGAATTTAAGACTGAAAATTGTGTTTATTGATACAATTACTCATTGGCAGCTAACAGAATGCTGAGATATTAAAAATTTGCTTCCTATTATTGAATTTATTAAAACTTACAAAAAATAATGTCTTAAAATTTCTATTGAATACATTTGCTTGGTTTAAATATTTGAAGATTTTACTTTTCATTTTTCTACACTGGATAATAAATCTGTTTTACAATCATGTTATTTTTTAAATTAAGTCTCAGCCTCAAGTATTTCTATCTATACAATGCCATCCTATTTTTTGTTACAATGTCCTTTATGCTTTTCTGTAGCCTTCCTTAACATGGTCTTGCTAAACACATTTTGCTTAAGTTAAGTGTGAACAAGTTTAAGAGTACAATATCTTTTGCTACATAGCTGTTTCTTTAATTTCACTTATACTCACTGAGAATGAAGATAAAAATGTCCTCAGTCTCCTCCAAAATGAGGGAACACCACCACTATAGTCTACCACATCCTGATATGAAAGGTCATCCACTGACTGACCAATAAGATTTAACTCGGCTGCATCCTTCTTACCAATAATGTTGTTAGTGGCCATTGTATCCACCATCTGTTAACGGGACAAACATTACATCATGTAACATTCAAAATACCTGACAAATTATTCTTAATATAACAATAGTAATAATAATAATAATAATAATAAATTCTTTATTTAAAGAGGGTAAACACAGTTAGTTACAACAAACTAATCTTCCCTGAAGCCCTCACATACAAATTACAATACAATCAAAAACAGATATTTACACGTAGTTAATTTACAGTCAAGTAGTTCAATTATTATAACTGTAAATTCAGAAATTATTGCGAGGTTTTTATTATTGCGAAAAATGCGACAGAGTTATAAATGCAATAATTTAAACTCGCATTTTGAAATATTTTATATGAATTAAACAGGATTTTTCTCAAAATAGTAAAAACTAAAATCGCATTTAAGTCTAAAATGACAAAATCGCAATAATAAGTGCATGCAATAATTTCTGAATTTACAGTAACATGATAAGATATAAAACTGTTCAAGAGGTACATGTAGTAAAAACTCAAAAAATAAAATCAAAATAAAATAAAATAAACAAGAATGTGTCCATAGTACACGGATGCCCTACTTGCACAATCATTTTCTATGTTCAGTGGACCGTGAAATTGGGAGTCAAAACTCTTATTTGGCATTAAAATTAGAAAGATCATATCATAGGGAACATGTGTACAAAGTTTCAAGTTGATTGGACTTCAACTTCATCAAAAACTACCTTGACCAAAAACTTTAACCTGAAGTTGGACAGACGGACGAACGCACGGATGGATGAATGAACGAACGGACGCACAGACCAAAAAACATAATGCCCCTCTACTATTGTAGGTGGGGCATAAAAATATTAAAATCAAATTAATACATTGTAGAAAACAGAATCTTATCAGGACTGTGTCAAGTACTTCTTGTAGGTAAAAGTGTTTTGGGATTTACGAATTTTGTGTGGTAGTCCATTCCATAACACTGATCCAGAATAAACAAAAGATTTCTTAAACAGCTCAGCTTTTGGCTTAGGAACTATCAGATTACCTTTTGAGTAACACCTCTCAAGGAGTAAGGACTATTATCTGATTTCAGTTTAAACTTTTGAACTAGGTACATTGGTGCTTCTATACGCACACATTTATATAGAAGTAAATATTTGTGGTATTTAATTCTATTTTAAATGTATCTATATCAATGTAATCATTTATGACCTGATACATTTCGGTTTGTTCTTTAAACAATTGCCATGAACACCAAATTCTCCAAAAAATTTTAAAAATTTGATATATACGATGACAACCAGTATTGATATTTTTGATTTGGGACAGACATATGAACATGTGCAAATTTAAACTATTTTTTTAATCTCAATCCTTACCCTTTTTTTTTATCTCAATCCTTACCCTTTTTTATCTCATTCCTTACCCTTTTCTATCTCTTACCCCTTTTAATCTCAATCCTTACCCTTTTTTTTTTATCTCAACCCTTACCCTTTTTTTTATCTCAATCCTTACCCTTTTTTTTTATCTCAATCCTTACCCTTTTTTATCTCAATCCTTACCTTTTTTTATCTCAATCCTTACCCTTTTTTTAATCTCAATCCTTACCCTTTTTTATTTCAATCCTTACCCTTTTTTTTTTATTTCAATCCTTACCCTTTTTTTTTTTATCTCAATCCTTACCCTTTTCCTATCTCAATCCTTACCCTTTTTATCTCAATCCTTACCCTTTTTTTTATCTCAATCCTTACCCTTTTATTTCAATCCTTACCTTTTTTTTTTTATCTCAATCCTTACCCTTTTTCTATCTCAATCCTTACCCTTTTTTATCTTAATCCTTACCTTTTTTTTTATCTCAATCCTTACCCTTTTTCTATCTCAATCCTTACCCTTTTTATCTCAATCCTTACCCTTTTTTTATCTCAATCCTTACCCTTTTTATCTCAGTCCTTACCCTTTTTTTATCTCAATCCTTACCCTTTTTTTATCTAAATCCTTACCTTTTTTTTTTATCTCATTCATTACCCTTTTTAATCTCAATCCTTACCTTTTTTTATCTCAATCCTTACCCTTCTTTTATCTCAATCCTTACCCTTTTTTATCTCAATCCTTACCTTTTTTTATCTCAATCCTTACCCTTTTTTTAATCTCAATCCTTACCCTTTTTTATTTCAATCCTTACCCTTTTTTTTTTATTTCAATCCTTACCCTTTTTTTTTTTATCTCAATCCTTACCCTTTTCCTATCTCAATCCTTACCCTTTTTATCTCAATCCTTACCCTTTTTTTTATCTCAATCCTTACCCTTTTATTTCAATCCTTACCTTTTTTTTTTTATCTCAATCCTTACCCTTTTTCTATCTCAATCCTTACCCTTTTTTATCTTAATCCTTACCTTTTTTTTTATCTCAATCCTTACCCTTTTTCTATCTCAATCCTTACCCTTTTTATCTCAATCCTTACCCTTTTTTTATCTCAATCCTTACCCTTTTTTTATCTTAATCCTTACCCTTTTTTTTTTTTATCTCATTCCTTACCCTTTTTAATCTCAATCCTTACCCTTTTTTATCTCAATCCTTACCCTTTTATTTCAATCCTTACCCTTTTTTATCTCAATCTTTACCCTTTTTCTATCTCAATCCTTACCCTTTTTTATCTCAATCCTTACCTTTTTTTTTATCTCAATCCTTACCCTTTTTTTTTTATCTCAATCCTTACCCTTTTTCTATCTCAATCCTTACCCTTTTTATCTCAATCCTTACCCTTTTTTTTATCTAAATCCTTATCCTTTTTTTTTAATCTCATTCCTTACCCTTTTTAATCTCAATCCTTGCCCTTTTTTTTTATCTCAATCCTTACCCTTCTTTTATCTCAATCCTTACCCTTTTTTATCTCAATCCTTACCTTTTTTTTTATCTCAATCCTTACCCTTTTTTTTTATCTCAATCCTTACCCTTTTTTTTTTATCTCAATCCTTACCCTTTTTTATTTCAATCCTTACCCTCTTTTTTTTTATCTCAATCCTTACCCTTTTTATCTCAATCCTTACCCTTTTTTTTTTATCTCAATCCTTACCCTTTTATATCTCAATCCTTACCCTTTTTTTTATCTCAATCCTTACCCTTTTTTTTATCTCAATCCTTACCCTTTTTTTTTATCTCAATCCTTACCCTTTTTTTTTTATCTCAATCCTTACCCTTTTTTATTTCAATCCTTACCCTCTTTTTTTTTATCTCAATCCTTACCCTTTTTATCTCAATCCTTACCTTTTTTTTTTATCTCAATCCTTACCCTTTTATATCTCAATCCTTACCCTTTTTTTTATCTCAATCCTTACCCTTTTTTTTTTACCTCAATCCTTACCCTTTTTTATTTCAATCCTTACCCTCTTTTTTTTTATCTCAATCCTTACCCTTTTTATCTCAATCCTTACCCTTTTTTTTTATCTCAATCCTTACCCTTTTATATCTCAATCCTTACCCTTTTTTTATCTCAATCCTTACCCTTTTTTATCTCAATCCTTACCCTTTTTTAATCTCAATCCTTACCTTTTTTTAATCTCATTTATTAGACTAATAAAAGGTACATAGAAGAATGACACTTAATATTAGTTATCTCTAAAATAACAGTATAACACATAAACAAACAAAAATAAGCACAAACAAAACAATAACAAATAATAGTGTCAAAAAAGTCTAGTAGTAACTGAAAGCAAGCTGAACGTTCTTACATGCTGATATGAAATCATGTTGTCCTACATTCTAATACCAGTGGCTGTACTTTACAGCAAATTCCTACAGCAATGTCATAAACAGTACAGTTCCTTTTCTGGCTTCTCCATTTCATAAGAGTCTGCCTAATATAAAACAAAACTGTCTTATTTTACCCTATTGTACCTGTTCAAGGAAGGACAAAGTCCCTTTTTAAATTGAACTAAAATGTCAGGCAAGAAATTTCTACCTCCTTTTATATCATCACCAAGATAATCAACTTCTCTCAAACAAGAGTGTAATTGAAATCCATCAGACTTGTGCTTAGAAGGGGGCACTCTCTAATAAGACAATGCAACATCCTTATATGGTAGTTAATTATTCTTGGTTAAATCTCATTTCAATCCATCAAACCAAAAAGAGATGCATTTGCGGAAATGAACCTCATTTTTTCAGTGAGGTATACTTTATGTAAATGATATATACTTCTAAACTTACAGTCATATTGATAAACATGGTTCCACAACATGACAGTACAATGTTGTCAGGATGATTTAGGTGTGGACCCTCAGCCATTATCTCAGCATACCTCTAAACAAATAACGACCAAAGAAAGATTAAACAGTCACAAAAAATAAATAAGAGTAAATCATAGTTTTTATATGGATTTAATGACAGATATTTGGAAAATAACATTTATTTGATGTACCTTATTTAAAATTAAAGATCAGCGTCTTAATTTGAAAAAAAAGACAATCTTTAGAAAGTTTAGACTATTGAAGTCAAAACTGTTCAAATTAATTTTATTAATCCAATCTTATAATGGCAGTACTCCATGAACCTAGACCTTCATTAAAACCAACATTTAGTCCAGGGCATTACATGATATTATTGTAAATAAGCCACCTGGAGACAGTTCAGGCCAAATCTGGTTTTCCAAATTACCCATATGGTTTAAAGGACAACTTTAATAAACATTGCTAAAACGTAAAATAAAATTTTATTCTTGATAATGGCAGCTTATCTAAATTTCTTGGCTCCTTGAAAATACCAGACTTAAATCGACAGACCAATATTCAATCTAATTTTGTTTACTGCTCTTTAAAACATAAGTAGCATCATATATCATGGTTGGTAATTAAGGCTGTGCAATTGTAGAAAAAAAAATGTAAAAACTAGATGTATCAGAACTACACAAACAAGAGGCTCTCAAGAGCCTGAATCGCTCACCTGTATTTCAGAGAAGAAGACTTTTAGATGTTAGCAAACTTGATGAACAAATTGTGTAAAATTGTCTTTAAAGGGCAATAACTCCTTAAGGGGTCAATTGACAATTATGGTCATATTAACTTTTTTGTAGATCTTACTTTGCTGAACATTATTGCTGCTTACAGTTTATATATATCTATAATAATATTCAAAATAATAACAAAAAAAACTGAAAAATTTTGTTAAAACTACCAATTCGGTGGCAGCAACCCAACAATGGGTTGTTCGATTCGTCTGAAAATTTCAGGCCCGATAGATCTTGACCAATTAAACAATTTTACCCCTGTCACATTTGCTCTAAAAGATTTAGTTTTTGAGATATAAGCCAAAAACTGCATCTGACCCTTATGTTCTATTTTTAGCCATGGCGGCCATGTTTGTCGATGGTGTAAACTTCGGATACAATTTATAAACAATATACCCTAAGGAACATTAAGTTAAAGTTTGAAGGTAATTGGTCCAGTAGTTTCAGAGGAGAAGATTTTTAAATGTTAGCAAACTTGATGAACAAATTGTGTAAAATTGTCTTTAAAGGGCAATAACTCCTTAAGGGGTCAATTGACAATTATGGTCATATGAACTTTTTTGTAGATCTTACTTCGCTGAACATTATTGCTGCTTACAGTTTATATATATCTATAATAATATTCAAAATAATAACAAAAAACTGCAAAATTTTGTTAAAACTACCAATTCGGTGGCAGCAACCCAACAATGGGTTGTTCGATTCGTCTGAAAATTTCAGAGCTGATAGATCTTGACCAATTGAACAAATTTACCCCTGTCAGATTTGCTCTAAAAGCTTTAGTTTTTGAGATATAAGCCAAAAACTGCATTTGACCCCTATGTTCTATTTTGAGCCATGGCGGCCATGTTTGTCAATGGATCAAAACTTCGGATACAATTTATAAACTAGATACCCTAAGGAACATTTAGTTAAAGTTTGAAGGTATTTGGCTCAGTAGTTTCAGAGGAGAAGATTTTTGAAATAGTTTAAGACGACAGACGACGACGGCGGACGATGACGACAGATGACAACGACAGACGCCAAGTGATGGCATAAGCTCACATGGGACCCTTCGGGCCCCGATGAGCTAAAAAGTTTCAAGTCATTTTTAGAAGTGGAAATTTGAAAATGAAAGTCTGTTTAACTGTTTAAATCTCGCAATTTTGGCACAAATCAGTGGAGCGACACCAAACGTAAACTCATTCTCTAACTCATCATAGTAGACTTACATTCTAAAAATGAGCTCAATATGTGAAGGCATTTAGAAAAAAAGTTCATATAACTGTTATTTTCAAGAAATTTTCAAAGTCCAAAGCCCATAATTTTCAAAAATCAGCAAAGCGGAACCAAACATGCACTCGATCTGTAACTCATCAGAGTAGACTCATGTACTAAAAATCAGCTCAATATGTGAAGGCATTTAAAAAAAAGTCTGTATAACTGTTATTTGTCACAAAATTTTCAAAGTTTAAAGCCCGCAACTTTGGCCAAAAAAATCAGCTGAGCGGAACCAAACTTTAAACTCCATCTGTGACTCATCATAGTTGACTCACATACTAAAAATCAGCTCAATATGTGAAGGAGTTTAAAACTATATGGCCCGACCACTTTGTAGTGAGGCCATAAAAATATCAATTCTATTAATTTACAACCATTCTTATCAATTGTTAAGAAAGGCAAAAATGTCTGCTGATCATGAAAAAACCCCAAACATAGATGACTAAAGTCAATTTCAGTTATGACCTCTTCTTAAAAAAATGAACCTGGGAAGTGAACTAATAATGATAACAACAGGAGAAGATATGTAATACAATTTTATCAAAATAACATCTGCACTTTGTCCAACAAATGAGATAATATAAAAATATTGCAGCATCAATTCATTTTACTATAGCAAAGGACAAACACATGTCCAGTCCTGCATACTGAAACACACAGGGATTTAGTTCATTCAGTTCTATTTCACATTTAAGGCACCAAACTTACCAATAATGCAATGTTAATAGCTGGTTTAAATAATGAGTTAGTGAGTGGAGTAACTGCCCCTGGCATCATCTCTCTGCAATATTCAATTATTTTTAACTTAGCTAACATAGTTTTCAAAATAAAAGCAAAAAACTCAAAACTCAAAACAAAATTATATTTCAGGGGCATAAACTCCAAAACAGGTTGACATATTTTTTCTGAAATGTTCAGAGTTTATAGATCTTGTAGTGCTGATAATTTAGTAACTACACTTTTAACCTAGCTCCTACATTTTCACAATAACAGCCAAAAATTGATATTTCAGGGGCCATTACTCCAAAACAAGTCAACAAATGTTTCTCCAATTTTCAAAGTTATTAAATTTTGTCAAGCTGATTCTTTTTTCAATTTAAACATTTAAATTAGTTCTTATGGTTTTTGAAACAATGGCAACAAAATGAACAAAAAAAATTAAAAATCAACTTTTCAGGGGCAATAACTCCATAACAGCCCAACAGATTCCAAAATGTTCAGGGTAGATAGAACTTGTTGTGTCAATTTTCATTGTGTCAGTTTTTCTAAAGTTGCTTTATAGTTTTAAAAATATTAGCCAAGACTGTAGTTTGACCTTTATGTTCTATTTTTAGACACATCAGCCATTTGGTTGACTATATGATGTAATTTTTTCTAATTGATGAAGGCTGTACAATGATTTCTAATTGCTTATATATCCACATCTTTTGAACTCTGGTTGATAGTTGTCTCATTGGAAATCATACCATATCTTCTCATTTTTATATAAAGACATGCATACTTGAATAAACTGCTCAAGAAATATCATAAATATAAACAAAATAATTACAGTTCATTTGTGCATATTTGCATAGTCATAGGAAGTATTTGGAACCTAATATTGTATAGAGTTTTTTAATGACTAACCCATCTACACCTGATGCCTTAGGAAAAAATTTAAACAATAGTTCCAATCTTCCCAAAAAAAGCTACCAAAAAATCACTGGTAATATTTCACATAAAATAAATTACAATTTCTGTAGGATGTCTTTTTAATTAAAATCTAAAGCTTATTTTTCATTTGTAGCAGGTTTCATTCTTTATTCATTAAACATATATTGTGATATCTACATATTCTCATTACAGTAGCCATATGCAAGCAATGTATTTCCATAAAAAACAATACCCGATATTTCCAGTTGTCAAAAATTCCCTACAAGTAACCAAGGGATCATCAAACTCATGCAACATATCTTCGTGTGTCTCGTGATCCATGGCAGTAATGGGTCTTGCCTGAAACAAGAATATATGTCTATAGGACACAGTGCCCTGCTCACATTACGACTGTCACATATTTTTAATTTGAATTTTCAGAGTTAATGATTTATTGGCAAACTTCAATTTTAATGTGAAAATAAAACTATACATGTAGTAACTTGTGACATTAAATACTTTGTTCATGTTTAAATCATGTGAAAATTAAGATTTAAAAAAAAGAAAAAAATTTTCTTATAAGAAACAAATATTTATGTTGTTGTTTTCTTATTTACAAATTTGTACAAAGTAAGAAAAATACTGAAATGGGAAGACATTTGACAACATAATGCAAAAACAAAGTTTATTATAAGCAACAATTCTAAAATAGACTTAACCAGGAAACCATAGGTGTTAAAGACACCTTCCCTATATAAAAGGTGATAACTATTTTGTCTCCAATGACATTTGATGCTGGCAAGATTTGACAAGTAACAACAACAATAATATTTTTGATTTTTTTTTTATAGATTTAATATTGTGATAATTAATCATTTTCAAAACTCATACTGAATTAAATATTCCATTTCACAACCAGAAAAAACAAGTAAAAAGCTGGCAATGCTAACAGAAGTTTCCCAAACCCAACATTTATTCAAAGAAAAGGAAAACAAGAGGCTCTCAACAGCCTAATCGCTCACCTGTATTTCAGAGGAGAAGATTTTTAAATGTTAGCAAACTTGATGAACAAATTGTGTAAAATTGTCATTAAAGGGCAATAACTCCTTAAGGGCTCAATTGACAATTTTGGTCATATTAACTTTTTTGTAGATCTTACTTTGCTGAACATTATTGCTGCTTACAGTTTATATATATCTATAATAATATTCAAAATAATAACAAAAAACTGCAAAATTTTGTTAAAACTACCAATTCAGTGGCAGCAACCCAACAATGGGTTGTTCGATTCGTCTGAAAATTTCAGGCCCGATAGATCTTGACCAATTAAACAATTTTACCCCTGTCACATTTGTTCTAAAAGATTTAGTTTTTTGAGATATAAGCCAAAAACTGCATTTGCCCCTTATGTTCTATTTTTAGCCATGGCAGCCATGTTTGTCGATGGATAAAAAACTTCGGATACAATTTATAAACAAGATACCCTAAGGAACATTTAGTTAAAGTTTGAAGGTAATTGGCCCAGAAGTTTCAGAGGAGAAGATTTTTAAATGTTAGCAAACTTGATGAACAAATTGTTTAAAATTGTCTTTAAAGGGCAATAACTCCTTAAGGGGTCAATTGACAATTATGGTCATATTAACTTTTTTGTAGATCTTATTTTGCTGAACATTATTGCTGCTTACAGTTTATATATATCTATAATAATATTCAAAATAAAAACAAACTAGAGGCTCTAAAGAGCCTGTGTCCCTCACCTTGGTCTATGTGCATATTAAGCAAAGGACACAGATGGATTCATGACAAAATTGTGTTTTGGTGATGGTGATGTGTTTGTTGATCTTACTTTACTGAATATTCTTGCTCCTTACTATTATCTCTATCTATAATGAACTTGGCCCAGTAGTTACAGTGGAAAATATTTTGTAAAAATTTACAAAAATTTACAAAATTTATGAAAATTGTAAAAAATTGACTATAAAGGGCAATAACTCCTTAAGGGGTCAATTGACAATTTTGGTCATGTTGACTTATTTGTAGATCTAACTTTGCTGTACATTATTGCTGTTTACAGTTTATCTCTATCTATAATAATATTCAAGATAATAACCAAAAGCTGCAAAATTTTCTTAAAATTACCCATTCAGGGGCAGCAACCCAACAATGTGTTGCCTGATTGGTCTGAAAATTTCAGGGCAGATAGATCTTGACCTAATGAACAATTTTATCTTCATCAGATTTGCTCTAAATGCTTTGGTTTCAGAGATATGAGCCAAAAACTGCATTTTACCCTATGTACAATTTTTAGCCATGTCGGCCATCTTGGTTCGCGGGCGGGGTCATCGGACACATTTTTTAAACTAGATACCCTAATGATGATTGTGGACAAGTTTGGTTAAATTTGTCTTAGTAGTTTCAGAGGAGAAGATTTTTGTAAAAGATTACAAAAATTTACGAAAAATGGTTAAAAATTGATTATAAAGGGCAATAACTCCTTAAGGGGTCAACTGACCATTTTGGTCAAGTTGACTTATTTGTAGATCTTGCTTTGCTGAACATTATTGCTGTTTACACTTTATCTCTATCTATAATAATATTCAAGATAATAACCAAAAATGGCAAAATTTCCTTAAAATTACCAATTCAGGGGCAGCAACCCAACAACGGGTAGTCTGATTCATCTGAAAATTTCAGAGCAGATAGATCTTGACCTGATAAACAATTTTACCCCCATGTCAGATTTGCTCTAAATGCTTTGGTTTCAGAGATATAAGCCAAAATCTACATTTTACCCCTATGTTCTATTTTTAGCCATGGCGGCCATCTTGGTTGGTTGGCGGGGTCACCGGACACATGTTTTAAATTAGATACCCTAATGATGATTGTGGCCAAGTTTGGTCAAATTTGGCCCAGTAGTTTCAGAGGAGAAGATTTTTGTAAAAGTTAACGACGACGGACGAAGACGACGGACAACGGACGCCAAGTGATGAGAAAAGCTCACTTGGCCCTTTGGGCCAGGTGAGCTAAAAACTGCAAAATTTTGTTAAAACTACCAATTTGGTGGCAGCAACCCAACAATGGGTTGTTCGATTCGTCTGAAAATTTCATCTATGATAGATCTTGACCAATTGAACAATTTTTCCCCATGTCAGATTTGCTCTAAAAGCTTTAGTTTTTGAGATATAAGCCAAAAACTGCATTTGACCCCTATGTTCTATTTTTAGCCATGGCGGCCATGTTTGTCGATGGATCAAAACTTCGGATACAATTTATAAACTAGATACCCTAAGGAACATTTAGTTAAAGTTTGAAGGTATTTGGCCCAGTAGTTTCAGAGGAGAAGATTTTTGAAATAGTTTACGACGACGACAGACGACAACAGACGACGACGACGGACGCCAAGTGATGGCATAAGCTCACATGGGGCCCTTCGGGCCCTAGTGAGCTAAAAATAGGTCAAAGTCACAGATGCCTGGGTTGCAATATTTTTGACTAAATGTTGCTGAAAAAACTAAGTTCCAAAATCTGGAAAAATGAGAAAAAAGTACTCAAACAATTCCATAATAGCAGGTGCTCAACTTCAACATATGTGCAATCTTCCTGTGCAGTTTCAAAGGATCTGGGTTGAAAATTGTAGGAGGGATTGATTACAAAAATAAGGTATCTACTTTTCCCTGCCTGCCCGCATGCCAGCCCATCCGTCCTCCCAAAATTACCATATTATAAGCTGGTTTTGGACTTTGTTATACCAGGCCAAAAAATGACATGTACTTAAAGGCTGCAATTGAGATAGTATGCTTGGCCAGACAAAGAAAATATTCACTTTTTTGAGGTTTTATTGTGACAAATAATGACAGGTTAGCAAAGAAAGCATTAAAATATTACAGGATGTTATTTTAAAAAAATTCGTAAGGGTTCCGCGGAACCCAGTGTCTCGCCTACTTTTTCTGTTAATTGCAGGCTCAACAAAAATGAGGAAGTAAATCAATAAAAATATTCCTCTTGATACTATCTTTTGATTGTAAGAAGCTTCTGTCCAAGTTTGGTAAAAATCCAGGATAGTTTATGAATCTAATAAATGTTTAAAAACTTTAACTGCAGACTGAATGTAATGTTAACTGGAAGAAAACAAAATTTCCTTCTAGATACTAGCATTTGATCATAAACAAGCTTCTGTCCAAGTTTGGTACAAATCCAAAATAGTATAAGAAAGTTATTAAAATTCTAAAAACTTTTAACCACAGAGTGAATGTGTTGTTTCCTGGCAGAAAATCTAAGTCCATTTAAAAGTAAAATACGGAAAAATTGGATTTATTTTTTTACAAAATTTCCTTCTAGATACTAGCTTTTGATAATAAACAAGTTTCTGTCCAAGTTTGGTACAAATCCAAAATAGTATAAGAAAGTTATTAAAATTTTAAAAACTTTAACCACAGAGTGAATGTAATATTTCCCGGCAGAAAAACTAAGTCCATTTATAAGTAAAATACGGAAAAAATGGAATTTTATTTTTACAAAATTTACTTCTGGATACTATCTTATGATCATAAACAAGCTTCTGTCCAAGTTTGGTAAAAATCCAGGATAGTTTAAGAAAGTTATTAAAATTTCAAAAACTTTAACCACAGAGTGAATATTTGTGGACGCCGCCGCCGCCGACGACGGAATGTAGGATCGCTATGTCTCGCTTTTTCGACTAAAGTCGAAGGCTCGACAAAAACATATCTTATATTTATCAAAACATGGACTTGTAGCAATTATATTTCACCCCAAATGACATCTTTTATAACACTGTCACATGTGACCTTGATCTTGGACCTACTGAACCCAAAATCAAATAGGCCTTTTATCCATCACTATACCTTTCATCTGTGTAAGTTTCCTTCTAATCAAGCAAGGGAACTCAGGTTACCATCCGGAAACCATTGTTGATTTTTTTTTTAATTTTTAGTAAGGATTACCTTGACCTTTGACCCAAACTTGAATAGGCTTCATCCCCTCACCTATATCTTTTATCTGTGTAAGTATCATTTTTATCAAGCAAGGGCAACTCTGTTTACCATCCATAAACCATTGTTCAATTTTTTTCATTCTTATGTAATGGTGACCTTAACCTTTGACCTTTTGACCTCATAAACAATAGGCTTCTTTCCCTCCCCTCTATCTTTTATTTGTATCAGTTTCATTCTAAACCACCACTCAAATTATCATCAACATCTCAAGTTATCATCCAGAATCCTTCATACACATGGACAGATAGATACTCTTATACAATCAACCAAACAGCATTGACAATTCAAACAGCATTGACAATTCTCAAGTAGTTAGTTTTTGTTTTTAAATAAGTAAATAAGCAGAATCCTGAGAATTTTCTAAGAGTTAAATAAAATAAACACAACAACATATTCAGAGTAAATATTTGTGGCACATTAAATTAAAATAGAATTAGGTGATCAAGGGAGTGCAGATACCTCTGCCTTCAGCATGACTCTTAACTGTCAAAATTGAAATGTATATTATGATCCATGACTATGTTCAATTTCAAAAACCAAAAAGGTTCTATCAAAAAGAACATGAAGCTATGGTGAATTTATTCTTGAGATAACTTCCCTTATGTGTGCGACATCATTCTCTCAATTTTAGCCCCATCTTAGGCCAGTTTGTGTACTCAAATTTTAATAAGATGCACACCACCTATTCTTGGCCCCATTCCTTTCCACGTTAAATGTTTCACTTTCAAACGTTTATGGGGACAGGATAAATATAACGTTATTTACACATTAGACCATACTGGTTACCGGAACTTTGGATACACCTAACCAGGTACTTCATATCTGAGAAACAGGCAATATATGCCCTCAATTTTAGGATTCATTCATATACTTTTGTATTATTCAAAATTATCAGTCAATATGTGTTCCATAATGATCACCAGTCATCACCTTTCATTTGATACCTAAATTACCAAAATATATTCTACAGTTTGAAATTTACACTTATGTGTAGGAACTATTTTGTTCTAAATATGTACTACTTTCCAGTGTGTTCTTTTTGACAGGTCCAGATTTGGTGGTGTTACATCTTACAAAGTCTATCTGAATTATTTTGCAAAGAATTCCGCTCAAACTGGTGCTATTGGCTGTCTTAAACTTGCAGTGAGATGAGAGTTTTTTTGCTCCGTGTTAAAGGCCTCACTGTGACTTTGAGATGAATAACAGCAATAAAAGCGCTGTTTCTTTGTTTTTGTGTGTTTTTTGCTGTGCATGTACTGATTTTGTGTCGTGGAAGGATACCCCATATCCTTTGTGTTTCTATTAATTACTATCAACCAGAAGCAAAAACAACCAAGATTTTTTTAAAAATTAAGGGGTATTACTTTCAATCAGTAATAGTCAAAATCTGTTGAAATCACCAGTAGTAGATGGTCCATATAATAATATAATAGATTTGTAGTGAATACCTGCAGCAAATAGAAATCTCCACCAAACATCGCCCATTCTATATCTCTAGGACTACCAAAATAATTCTCAATCTGTAAAGCATTAAAAAAATTCAATTATTACATTTATAAAAATTCTTCAGAGATCATATTGCTTACATTCATAACCCTTAGTAGTTCTTTCATGAATAGTTCATACATATCCAAGAATCTCAATTTTTGCTCAGAAACATAGTATGACTTGTAAATACAAAAACCTAAAACTGTCAAAAAATAGTTAAAACCATTATTTCCCTGATCCCTGATATTTTTTATCCAAATACTATATGTTTTACTAATAACTTGTTTTTAAAATTGAGTTTTGTTCGAGGATGGTGCACTTTCTCCCAAAAATCTTTCAAAATAAACACTTTCAAATAAAGAAATGTAAATAGTCTCCCTCTTCTGGTTTACTAAATATATTCATTATCTTTAGAAATTTTCCATTTTAATATTAAGTGCTTTGCAAAACTGGCTGCCATTCTTTCAGGATGGAGGATTTTAATGTCTTAAACTCTCCAAGCCCGTTTGACTTATTTATCATCTTAAATTAAAGAACCTTTGTGAGCAGGCTCATATACCCCACGCCCCCACATTGTCACTGGGCAAACAAAACCTCACCAGATTCCAAAGTTCAAAGACTAATAACTCCTACAAAAGCCAACTGATAAAAATGTTTTGTGGATATGCACATACTATGTCCTTATTATCTACAAAGTTTCATGAAATTCCGTTGTGCGGTTTCAGAGGAGTTGTGATGACAAACTTTTGCAGTAGTATATTTAGGCCAAAATTCTAAGTTCAAAGAGGCTTAACTCCTAGAATAAAAGTTGAATCATAATTTCCAGTCGATATGCATATCTACATAGTGTGTCCTTATTATCTACAAAGTTTCATGAAATTCTGTTCTGTGGTGGCAGAGGAGTTGTGATGACAAGAACAGGACTGATGGCCGGACGGGCGAAAAAATGGACTGTTCAAAAACATTATGATCCGTGGGGGTATAATTTAACCTTATCATAAATTACCCTCATGAGTTATGATCCAACATGTAGTTTATATTATATCAATCCACTTGTTATCTGTTTTGAAAGAACAAGCTTTCGTTGTAATATTCAAATAACAGAAAACAGATTGCTTGGGGAAATAAATATATATATATATTATAAATATAAAAATTCTTAGTTCAGTGACTACATATTAATTGTTATTGTAAAATTAATCTTCAAATTTTCATTTCAGACATATGCAAATCATGTCTAATGTAAATATCTACACTCTTTTACAATAGTTTTCTTATCATTTCCAAACTAAACTGAGACACGTTTTTCTCTGACAAATATTAGTAACCGGTATGAGTGTGAGTTTAATGTATGACAATCAAAAGGAGGACAGTTTGTATCTCACAAGATTATCGGTGATTAATTGAACCACTTATGCATCACTCTGATCTTCAAATTAATCATAAATAAACTATAGGATCCAAAGAGCCTGTTGGCTTAAATTGAGTTCCAGTAGTGTAAAATAAATATCCACACATATGATCTTTAACTTCTAAGTATACAATAACATATACCAAATACAGGCTAATCTCAAGGATGGAAAAAGAACAGGAAACAGAAAAGGAAATGTCATTTTCAAAAAAAATTCAGTTGAAGTGTCCTTATTAGGTCAAAAATAGGTCAAACATAATTATCATAAGTGATTCACTTAACATTAACTAAATACAATCCTCAACTTTTATGTTATGTAAAATATTCAGTCAATAATCCATGATGAGGGGGTGGGACCATATAATCTCCATGGCAATGAAACTTGCAAATGCTTATACAACTGCATACCAAATATCATTGACTTAACATTAGTGGTTCCTCTAACACTGATCTTATCACAAACTAATACATTGTTGACACTGCCACAGCCGGCACCACCGCCACCGCCACAGCCGGCGCCGACACCTGCAACAGCATACCTAAGTCTCCATTTTTACTTCCTCAAGGCGAGACAAAAATGGTTAGAGTCAATTTGGTGAGGTATGAAAAGTTGTTTTTGCTACAGCATATACTTGACTGACATAATGTACTGGTACAGCATAATGCAATAAATACCTGTATAGCTTTATGACACAGTTGATATATTTGTTCATCTGTCATACAATATGTATTCTTTTTATCAATCTTATCTTCTGTCACTCCTCCACCATCTGAAATAATACAAAAAACTCTCTAATAACACCATTTCTCTCACATATAGCCATATAACAATACATGTACTGCAAATTTGAATGAACCAGTCATCTTGGACTTATGGAACCTTGTCGTCTTCTTGTCCTTTTGTTCAATTTTTTACTGCATATGAATGCTTTTTTTGTGGTAAACTTCTTGAATTACATAATTAAAAAACATATCTTAAAAAAGGGAGCTTGAAAAGAAAATAAAGTCTAATCATACAGATGTACGGTCACCTTTTCCTGAGGGATTAGATTGAGTAAAGTTCCTGTCAAATAAATTTCAACAAATCAAAGTATGACATTAAAGATTGTCTGATTGATAGGGCACATGAAAGTCATTCTCTGCAAGTAAAACGCTGCAGTGTACTTGTCCAAAGGGCATGTAAAAAATCAAAGTTGAAAAATTCTGAATCTTGCACAACTTATTTCTCTTTTTATCAATAAATCATCATTTCAATCAGCCCTGACACTATTGATAAATTCACTGATTTTAAGCAGAACTCTTTTTTTTTTGCCTTTATTACTACAGCAAGTTCAATAATATTGGCCGATCAGAGCTAGATTCAGTTGTTGATGCAATCTTGATGGACCAATCATATAAGACCTAGCTATTTTAGGATGCAAGACACAATTAACAGAGATTACCTTATTATGATCGACTCTTTAATCTCAAACAAACATGACAAATGTGAAATTAAAGAACTTAAAATAATACAAACAATTTAATGAGCATCTCTCATGTTTAGGCATTAATTTTTTTCTACAAAGGTAGGTTTTTTTGTGAGTAAAATTGTGTTCATATTCTGTATTCTTTGACAATATTATGCATATCCAAGACTTAAGATGGACATGGTAGCTTACATTTGGGAAACTTTTAAGTGGTATTTCAGATAAATGATAACCTGAACACAATGAAACCATTTTAAGTCCATAAGGGCAATTTAGAAATTCTTAAGTACAAAATTTGGATGACTGGATTTTTCTTTTGATCAAATAAAACATCATTGTAACATGCCAAAGTACAAGTTGTTAAAAAAAGATGTCAAACCCTATATGTTTTTTTTTGTACATAATTGCAGTGCACAAGCCATTTCAGGGGTAATACCGTCTATAAATAAAAAGTCTAGAAGAAGTGGTTAAATAATGAAGTTTTAATCAAATGAATATAAATAACAATAAACTGTGCTTATATATAAAAATAAGAAGATGTGGTATAATTGCCAATGAGACAACTCTCTACCAGAGACCAAATGACATAGAAGTTATAGGTCACTGTACGGCCTTCAACAATGAGAAAAACCCATACTGCATAGTCAGCTTAACATATTTTTACATTGAACATTGCTGAAGTTTAGGAAACAAATACATTTTTTCAAATATTTTATTGACTAGAAAGGTGAAAACCATATGAGGCCAAAATGAAGTTATGAAGAGTAATAAAATTGAGAATGGAAATGGGGAATGTGTCAAAGAGACAACAACCCGACCATAGAACAGACAACAGCAGAAGGTCACCAACAGGTCTTCAATGCAGCGAAAAATTCCCGCACCCGGAGGCGTCCTTCAGCTGGCCCCTAAACAAATATATATACTAGTTCAGTGATAATGAACGCCATACTAAACTCCAAATTGTACACAAGAAACTAAAATTAAAAATAATACAAGACTTACAAAGGCTAGAGGCTCCTGACTTGGGACAGGCGCAAAAATGCGGCGGGGTTAAACATGTTTATGAGATCTCAACCCTCCCCCTATACCTCTAGCCAATGTAGAAAAGTAAACGCATAACAATACGCACATTAAAATTCAGTTCAAGAGAAGTCCGAGTCTGATGTCAGAAGATGTAACCAAAGAAAAAAAACAAAATGACAATAATACATAAATAACAACAGACTACTAGCAGTTAACTGACATGCCAGCTCCAGACTTCAATTAAACTGATTGAAAGATTATGTCTTCATCATATGAATATCAGGCACAATCCTTCCCGTTAGGGGTTTAGTATCATACCATCATAACATATATGAGAAGAACATAACCCGTGTCATGCCAACAACTGGTTTTTAAATAATTGTGTTTAGTTTAGTTTAATGTTTTTCAAGTGCCTTGTACCCTCCAAATAAACATTGACATGTAACTTAAAGTACAGATTTAAACTGATGCTAGCGTAACAAAATTTTCTATTAGAATTCCCACCTAAGTAAAATGTTAACTGAAAGAGATTTAAAATACACTTATCATTCTAATGTTAATACCTTTGATAGACATAGCTACTTGCTTTTCTCCCAATGATTTCTCGGCTATGCTCAACTGATTGTCCCAGGATCTATTTACAAAAATACTGTCAGGAGTTGTCTTTCCTGATACAACAGTCTAGTTCAAAATAGATATAAGCAAACTTATTATATACTTGGTAGTAAATACAGATAAATTGTATGTGTAATACAATCATTGGCAAGCGTGATGTATCAGCCACCCGCGATGATATCGATATCAGCACGGTTGCAAAGGCTTTATCACACCTTTAATCTGTATGACGTCACGTCATCGATTGCAAAGGCTTTATCAAACCCCTAATCTGTATGACGTCATGTCAAACCTATAATCTGTATGACGTCATTTCAAACCTCCTTACCTGTATGACGTCATGTCACATAAAAAACATCTACATGAGGTATATGTATATAATAAAGTGTATATGATATGGCTTTTTCAATATCACACACCGTATCAACCCTCAACCAATATAATCCCTCGAGCAGAGCTCTTGGGATTATATTGGTGTCTCAGGTTGATATGGATGTGATATTGATAAAGCCATATGATATTCTCTATATAAATACTGATTAGGACATTCAGATTAAAATAAAGATCTTGTGCCAAGGCTTTGATTACAAGAATCTGACAACACTCTGTTCTACTTTCTGTTCTAGTAATAATAACATCAACCAATGAAATTCCTGCCTGCAATTCTTTGAAGGTGAATCTTTACAACAAAACCAGAGAATCCTGAAAGTCTTTGAAATGGAAAGTAGAACAGAGCATTGCCAGAATCTGTATTCTAATCAGATTGTGATAAAGAAATTTGAAGAAAATTTAAAGAACCTTTGTGAGCATGCTCACAAACCCCACACTCCACATGGTCACTGAGCACACCTAGAATAAAAATTGAATCATAATTTTCTGTCGATATGCACATCTACATAGTACATTGTATATCCTTATTATCTACAAAGTTTCATGCAATTCTGTTGTGTGGTTTCCGAGGAGTTGAGATGACAAATGGTTGCAGTAGTATATTTAGGCAAAAATTCTCAATTTAAGGGGCATAACTCCTAGAAAAAAATTAAATCATAATTTCCTGTTGATATGCACATCTGGTACTTTCTATACATGTGTTGTGTATTTGATACAGCCTGCACATCTATCAACAGACCTTGCAAGGGATTGTTGTTGCCCACAGTTGGGAGAAACTTGGTTAAATATCCCAGAGTTTACTACAGGGTTATTATTATTTAGGTTTATACTTCAACTAAATGAGGTGTCTGTAAGACACAGATATCTTACTTTAAAAGAAGTTTTCAACTTAATACAAAAGAAACATAACAATATATTATAATAAGAATAAAGTGCATAAATGTCATTCCTACATCAATATAAACGAATGACAATTTCTTGATTATTACACATATCTTATATGAATAAAAAAAGACATGGAGCACAATAATGAGACAACTCAACCCTTTAGAGGAGAATATGTTTTTCTTGTGAGATTTCTGCTTATTTGAACAATTTTATAATTTGTCATGTTCACAGTGGTGTGAGATTGGTAGGTGTGGTATGGATTGATTAATTGATGTTTAGCATCACTTTCAGCACTATTGCGCTATTTCGTGATGGTCAGTTTTTATTGGTAGAGAAAGCCACAGTGACCAGATAGAATTACCGACTTTCGGTAGGAAAACTAACAATCCTAGTCAATTAAGATTGGAGTCGAACACACTTGCCATGTGCATGTTTCGAACTCACAACCTCAGGGTTGACAGACTATTAATACAGTAGTTTGACTACTTAGACAACTCTGCCACCAAGGCACCCTGTGTGGTATGGAAGAATAAGTATCTAGCATTAAATCTAAACACTTTTCATACCACCAATCAAGAAAGAATCGTTAAACAAACAAATGTACTTTCTTTTAATGCATATTTTATATTATAATTTCACCTCTCCTAATCCATATGATGCATTCAAAGTAATCTGATTGGCTGAGCCTGTTACAGGATTGTTTGTGAACAAAACACCAGACACTTCTGATTGGACCATTTCTTGTATAACAACACCTACACACACTTTGATGTGTTGTCCATTCATTCTGTAAAATGAATAGTTTAGTAAATGTACAAGAAAACAAGCCTCATATGGTATACATAAATTTATATCTTCATATTTTGAAATGACTTTAATGCACCAAAAGCATTCATTTAATTTCGCAGAATTGAATTTTATCTTGATTTTGTACATTTTTCACGCTCTAATGCATTTCTTCTTTTTGTTATGCATTAGAATAGAATAAAGGTTCTATAGTGTTTTTTCCATTTCAATTTTAACATAGTGAAATTGATATTGTGTTTGTACACATTTTACCATACATGTTGATTTATATGGGAGGTAAATAGTAACAGCCATTATAATGTACATCTCTGAGTCTGCGCTAAGTATAGATATATAGAGAATTTTATCACACTGTTGTTTACAAAGCGAAAGAAGAATGTCATATTAGAATTGAATATATAAACAATTTTGTTCTCTACAACAAAGGAAAAAATCCACTTTAGATGCCTACAATGTTTATAAATATTCCTTTATTTCTTTTTAAAGTCCTGATCTCCACTTTTCACATTGAAACTTTCATTTGAGATATTAACTTAGATTATCAAATTCTAAGGTTATCCACTCAATGTGCAGTAGGTCTTGATCACTATGATCATAAATTTATTATGTTTAATTCAGTGACATTTCAATGATAGAAACAGGAAGAGTTTACATAAACAGGTATCCATGCTCCTCTAACACGATTCTGTGCAAACCCAAAAAATCATCTTATATACTGAGGAAATGATAGAAAGGGTGAATGTAAAACTGAATCTTCCCTATCACTATTTACTCCTATATTTAATGTAGTTCTGATATATTCTTTGTTAAAATTAAATGAATGACCATGGCTTATGTCTTAATTATGAAATAGTTTGTTAAAGTGCTATGTTTATGATATCTTTCTATGCATAAATCTCACTTCATTAGACTCCAACACAGGGGTAATGTGGATTCATTATTATTTGTTGAATACTAATTTATTTTTGTGGGTATAGGTGAAATACAAATTCAAATGTTCAACTAATTAGAAATTTTCTATTGGTTTGTATGTACACATTGACAAAACAAATACATCAAATATCCATGAAAATGCAAGCTTTCCTCAATCCACTAAAATTGGTACCCACGAAAATAAATGAATCCACAATAACATTTCCTTGACATACATACCTTCTATACTGAACTGCTTGATAAGTAAACCCTGAAGCCCAGCACTTTCTCACTGCATCAATTACCTGTAAGAAAGTAACTGAATATTACTTTCTACTCAACTTGTATTATGCCTGACTTTCAATAGTGTATATTGACTGTATAGCTATTTGTGAATCTGAGACACTTGACTTAAGATTTTGTGACACTTGAACATTAGACTTTGCAACACTTGACTTATTGATGTATAAACCAGTCACTTTTGCACAGAGACTTCAGACATTTTCTCTTATAATGTCAAAATTTACAGGAACATTTTGTGATATCCAGTGAGGGTAAAACCCCCCTTACACAATGATCAGATTCTACTTGTTCTGCAGATGATACCCAATATCTTTTTCTTCTGACACCAGGATAAGTTTCCAAATATTAATCCTTTCTTTCTATTCCTTACATACATACATTTTCATTTGCAGATGAAGTGTATTTTCCTATTTCTCTCCTTTGCCACTATGATGTTTTAAACTGTACTCACCTCTTTCTCTCCTCTGACACCTAGATAAGTTTCCATTTGACCTGCAGATGAAGCCTCTGTTCCATCCTCACCTACAATCAAATTCATATGACAAGCTTTACACTTTCATTCCATGTAATACTGGCATATTTTTTTTAATTTAAATTTTTAATCTCCTGAACTTCTATCAGTACATAAAGTATAAATCTATTCAAATACTGTATTTTGGTTGAGTTACTGAAGAGGCCAATGGTGCTAGCACTATAAAACTCCCTTTTATAAGTATGTCGTTATATAACATGTATTTCAATTGGAGTATATTGAAACAAATGAGTTTTTCATATCTTTATAAACTATTACCTGAAGCAGAGGATCTGATGGCAACATAGGTTTTATCAGCATCCACAAAAACTGTTTTCAACATTTGTGTAATTGCAGTGGCAACATCAGAACATATTGCTTTTGTTGCTATCATTTCGACTGTATCTGAACATGCACTCTTTAAGTTGTCATGGCAACCATCCCTAAGTATAAAGTAATTTCCATGCAATCATATATATTTGATTTTGTAGTTTTTCCAAAGTAAGCATTCAAGCCTTCGAATTAGTACTTCATTTAAGAATTGAATGCTTCTTTCTGTAAATTTATTGGGGTGTAAAAGCATGGACTGAAGTACATTTTATATGAAGCGTGGAAGCTTTTACAATCCTATAAATTACTGAAAGAAGCATTCAATACTTATAATTACATTTTTTGCTAGGATCATGAAAACACAATTTCTATCAAGTTTTCTTTTATTTACCTGTGCAGTTTATTGTGGAAGCTCGTGTCATCATGAATGTTACATTTCATTTTGAAATGAAGGTTAATTTCAGAATGACGCGAGATTGCTGTTAGCCAATCAAAATAACGTATTATAATGAAACATACATGTAATGTAATTATTGAATATTTAAATTTGTGGTTAACCTATATCTAAGAAAAATCCATAAAAGTTGGTACCACATGAACAATAATGATTCTACAGCAATAGATATGTAGTTGTAAAAATGAATTGAAGGAGATGTGGGTTATACAAAAACTGAGACAATAACCCAATGGCCTGGAAAAATTAAAAAACCATCTAGATGACAATATAGATTTAAACAATAGACAAGTGTTTGTATAATGTCAAGCTCTAACATCAGGTATAGAAATGATGTATATAAGTTTAATGGAGACTATAAAAGATCTGGCATCAACACTAAATTCACTAAAGGAAGAAAAACATTAAGATACGATAAGTGGTATCACAAAAGGTACAGGGAAAATGTACATTGAAAATCCAGTCAGAAAAAATACCTATCTCGATACTGTTAAAAATATGGCTGACAAATAAAACCAAAAGTCCTCATTCGAAGTCATGAATTTCATCAGTTGTTGTAGTTGTCTTATGTTTTTTAAAGAATTCATTTCATTCACAATTTTATAATTTGATCCAGAATTTGCCATATGCATATGGATAGAGCAGATAGTCGGATAGTCGTTGTGGAATATCAAACTTCTAAAAAAAAAAATTTTTTATAATCAAACTTGGCCACATGTTTCTGAGTGATTGATTTTTGTGTCCCTGATTTCTTTTATTAATATGTTCAGCTGATATTATAATTGATATCATCATTGTGGTTTTATGTTGGGGTTTGATAAAGCCTGTGCAACCGTGACTGATATTGTTATCATTTGACGGCATTGATTGTATTACACATACAAATTACTTGTATTTTGCTACTTAATTTAGTATATAATAAGTTCAAATACAAGCTGGTAAACTGAACTATTTCTGGGATAAATGACGATGGATAAACAATTACTACGGTACTGGACTACTGGTTAACATAATCTTTGACTAACCTTAATATAGCAATGATTTTGTCTACTGATTGGCTTATATCTTGGTTAATCTGTAAATACAAGCATAATATTTACTATATTTGTACCAAATAAATTGGATATCAAGCAGTGAACATAAAAGAATTAACTTTTATTCAACATTGTCCTTCATATTAACGTCACAGTACCCAAATTGCACCGAGTACCCAAATTGCACCTATCTAGCAAAAAAAAAAGCAGCGGAAATCTTACAAGTTTTTTTAGAGACTAAACAATTTGTATTTTTATGATTTTACATTATGCACGTCTTTCAACATAGCTAATTATATGTAGATATGCACAAAACTTTCACAGTATATATCAACAGATGAAGTATTAACTGGAAAAAGTAAAATCTATGGAAACATCACCATGCGACGTCCACAAAAAGTCATCTTTTAAAATTGAGCAAATAAAATATGTTACATGCATTCATTTCTTAAAAACGAATAGTAAGCATGGACTAATGTAAAATTGTTCTAAATATTTGAAGAAATAAAACAATACATCTGTTATATGATTTTTAAGGATGTGAATTTAAGCATGGATGCAAATTGGGTACTCCTCATTGCAGAATCATGGATCCTTTGGAGGTCGGTTCAAACTCATTTTTCTATGATTCGATATGGATTCAAATTTAAATTGGTGAAACTATATAGCACATAAGGATACATCTACAAAATAAACCCAGAATGGAAACTTTTGTCTGGATCATAAATAAACGTAAGTGAAAAAAACTCAAAATAGGTGCAATTTGGGTACCCTCACTTTAGCTCAAGTTTGATGAAATTAAATTGTTATGAATAGAGGCCATCTATTGAGGATCCTCTTTTATATGTCCCTTTTAGAAAAGTGTTCTTTATAACTGACACGTGTTTTTGAAAAAAAAAATAATTGTACCAAACAAGAAATGTCAGAAATATATGAATAAGGATATCTGAGCTGGCTGTTTTGTAAAAATCATAAAGAATGCAAATTTTGTGCTCTTGAATGGGGAATATTTGAAACCATATTTCATTCTCGTGATTGTTTTTATCAGAACTTTTTAGTGTGTACATTTTCAACCAAGTTGTTTTTATTTCATGTTTAACTTTGTAATATGCAGTTTAAAAGTCAAATTGTTTGCAGAATTTATTTCTGCTACAAATTTTTACCTGAAGGGGTTGTTTGACAGAAAGTATTTGTTGCCAAAATCTGCATTATTTCTATACTGGTATACTGAAGATTAAATTTGATTATATTTGCTAGTTTTAATAGAGAAATATTTCTAATGCTGGTCATACTATTTAATAATTTATTCATGAGGTCATTAATAATGTAAACAAAGGAATCATTCACCAAGTTTCAGGTTAAGTTTTTTTCTCCTATTTAAGTATGGTATTTATGTGAAACTAATTAACTTATGCCTGAAAAAATTGAAGACAGACATGTTTAGTCTTTTGTGTAAGTTGGACTATTTTTAAAACATGCAAACGTTCCCTAAATTCCGATTTTGTTTCTTATATCATAAAACCCTATAAAAAAAAATGTCGAAATTTATTTAATTTGGTAAACAATCAATCTTTGGTAATTTTAACTGTTGAATCAATTTGTACAGTTCAACTTCAAAGTTCACTTAATTCAGAGAAATCCCCAGGACCCAAAGTGTGAAATGCGCATAAATGCATCGTGGAAGTAGTTACCAAATAAAAAACCAAAATCAATACTGGTATTATTTTCAAATATTATTTTCAAAATCACATTTTCAACAGTAAAATAATTTTGTATATAAATAATCTTGAAAGCAGTGCATCTATCTATGTCTTGTATATTGAAATAAATACATTAGGATTTTTTGCTATTTCAGTCTTCTCTCACCTGAAGCTGTCTATTAAATGCTGCCAGTGAAACACAAAATCCTTTTGGTACTATTACATTCACCTGAAAGCATTCATTGATGAATCAGTTTAATGCAGAACTCCCTAAAGAATGGTTTTTAAAGCTAAAATAAAATTCATTACAATTGCCTTACTGTCCATTTTAGCTCACAAAAAGTATCAAATGCAAAGTCTGTCTGAAAAATTAGTATGGTAATATTAATAGCATTGTATGCACAGAATACTCCATTGTTTTGTCAATATACATTGTACAAAGGTCAGATGCAAAATTTTATATACATAAACAGCAAAAAATACCAAAAATAAATGTTTTTTTTTTTATTCTTTAATGTTTACATGAAAATTATTTTTTTAAATTATACAAAATAGTATGCTTTATTAACAGAAAGCTAATGTCCGGTTTGAATAATGCCAACAGTAAGATATATATTAGTAAATGATAATAAGACAGCAAAGTAACAATTCAAGAATATAAATAATATTGATTGTCATTCATACATTTATTTTGTAGCATGGAAACAATTATGATGTTTTATCTTTATGCTGCTTTAAATTTCTATTTTAGTTTGATTTTACCTGGTTCTGTATAGAAGTAAGAAGACCAAGCTGTGCTCCTTTTCCACCAACTAGTTGACTACTACAACAGCCTTTCTCTTGAAAGGTCAAGGTCAAGTCCATAATCTCATTTCTGACCATATCTTCAGCAGGCTCATCTAACATTGGCACAGATTCTATTGGTAAGTATGGAGTTCCATCTGGATTTCTGCAAAGAAAATTGTGACTAAAATCCAGAATTGTATATGGCAATAAATTTTCTATATTGCTTTCTTTTACTGCATTTTATTTATATTTTCCAAACAACCTAGGTATGATTTTATAAATTTGATTAATCGGATTCAAAGTGTGAAATATCCTAATGTTGAGATGCTTCATGAAATCCTGGCCAGATCACATTCAAAACCACTGGTAAGGTATTGCTTTTAAATCAATACTAAAGGGGTATCTATAAAGGGGTATTTATAAAGGGGTATTTATTGCAAGTGAAGAGAGGAGGCATCGTTAATATCACAAAAAGTACAGCCCTGAAAGATTGTGCACTTTGTGTAAATAATGTATAAGGCAGTAGTTCAAAATTTGATAACCTATAGGGCTACCATCTATTATTGATGAGACATTTCAAAACATTTGCAAATCATAAAATATCATCAATGAACTTTGACATCTCAAAAGTGAAGGTCAATTCAAACATAAACAAAACTGGAAGAATAAAGAAAACTTACCTATAATGAAATTCAACTAAACCATATCCATTTATTCCATTAATCTTATATCTACAAAACTTCTCATAAACTTTACTTCCTCTGTCTTCATGGTGATACCATATAGGTGTCCATTCTCCAAATACTTCTGTAGTGTATTTCTTTCCATCTGTAAAATAAAATATGCAATCAGATAATTACACTATAGGCAAATGTCCTCCTACTGTCCACCTCTGAAATATGATATAAGCATAGTAATCATGAAAAATATCATTGCTAATAGATTTTCTAAATTCTATTCTCCAATTTTTTCATTTAGTATTTCTTGAAGAATTGTTATTATAAAAAAATGGAGACCATGGACACAGATGATGCCCCATTAGCATATAACGTTATAAAAGGGCATTACTCGAGAATGGTAAAAGTGACGCCACCAAAATTCAAACTTTAACAATATATGCAGCAACAGCAATGTGGGTAGAATGGGAGGTTAAATGCAATGCAGTGCCACAGTATTGGTACATTAAAGAATCCTTGCAACCAGGGTCTGTAGGTGGTATGTTTCAAAATTTCTGCCACCATCCAAATATCCTAAATTTCCAGTTACATTTGAAATTCCAGTCCTGTTGTATTATTGTTAATTTGTTTTCACCCTACATAAGCATGAGACATTTGCCACTGGACATTAAACGTTCAATTAATCAGCATTACTACATAGGATAAACATAAACATCTTACAGTTGTAAATGTGTTTCATAGTCACATTACAAAGTAATTTGCTTTATATTCTTCAATCTTCATATGCAATGTAATTAATCAATAACTTTTTTTAATTCAATACAGAAATTACTTACTTGCATAAAAGTTGAAAGTAAAATTATTTTTTGGTCCCTCTGGAGGAGCTACCTCCCATAGCTTAAGGTCAATGTCAGACACTGAATGAAAAGCACCATTCGAATGGACTAAATAGCCTATCTTTACACTGAAAATACAAGAGTGCACACGCTGAAATGTCTCGCCTTCTTTACTATCCATTGATATTATGCTGATAGTCCTAAATATAAAGCTTTACTACAACTATCACATAAACTTAACATGATCCAAGAAAATGAGGTCAAGGTCATATAAACCAAACGAGAAATACATGTACACCTTACAATCATTCAATACACTAAATATAGTTGACCTATTGCTTATAGTTTCTAAGAAACAGACTTAACCAAGAAAACTCAACATTGACCAATGAACCATGAAAATGAGGTCAAGGTCAGATGAACCATGCCAGACAGACATGTACAGCTTACAATCCTTCCATACAACAAATATAGTTGACCTATTGCTTATAGTTTAAGAAAAACAGACCAAAACATAAAAACTTAACACTGAGCAATGAACCGTGAAAATGAGGTCAAGGTCAAATAAAACCTGCGAGACGACATGTACATCATAAAATATTTCCATACACCAAATATAGTTGACCTATTGCATATAGTATTAGAAAAAAAGACCAAAACTCCAAAACCTAACTTTGACCACTGAACCATGAAAATGAGGTCAAGGTCAGATGACACCTGCCAGTTGTACATGTACACCTTACAATCATTCCATACACCAAATATAGTAGACCTATTGCATACAGTATAAGAAAAACAGTCCAAAACACAAAAAACTTAACTATAACCACTGAATCATGAAAATGAGGTCAAGGTCAGATGACACCTGCCAGTTGGACATGTACACCTTACAATCCTTCCATACACCAAATATACTAGACCTACTGCTTATAGTATCTGAGATATGGACTTGACCACCAAAACTTAACCTTGTTCACTGATCCATAAAATGAAGTTGAGGTCAAGTGAAAACTGTCTGATGGGCATGAGTACCTTGCAAGGTATGCACATACCAAATATAGATATCCTATTACTCATAATAAGAGAGAAATTAACACTACAAAAAATCTTAACTTTTCTTCAAGTAGTCACTGAACCATGAAAATGAGGTCAAGGACAATGGAAATGTGACAGACGGATACTTCGTAACATAAGGCATCTATATACAAAGTATGAAGCATCCAGGTCTTCCACTTTCTAAAATATAAAGTTTTTAAGCAGTTAGTTAACGCCGCAGCTGCCGCCGGATCACTATCCCCATGTCAAGCTTTCTGCAAAAAAGTCGCTGGCTTGACAATAATTGAAAGTCTGATATTCATATATCAACAATTCTGACCTACCTCTTTCTTAAATCAGCTCTTTTTTTTTGAACTGCAACATAATATCCCAAAATTTACCATTTAAATTATCAAAAATTAATTTCACTTTTATATAGAAATTAATTAAAAAGCCAAAAACTGAAAAGTCTTCAAACTGTTGTCAATAGTTAATGGACAAGTTGATCTTACAAAACATCAGTAAGGGAAGATAAGGTCACTTTAACAAAATGCACAGAAGGAAAACATTGATTGATCAACTGCTGCATCACCATTCAGAGGCTATGCTGCAGAAAGTTCTAATTTATTAAAAGAATATATGACTTAAAGCAGGCAAAACACACATATCATATACATGACATGGTCTTTGAAATTGACATCTAGAATTTAGCTTGGCAAATGAGACTTATTTTTAAAAAGTTTGAAGCTTGATTTAAAAAAACATGAAAATTTTGTACATGTGATACTTGTTTTGAGACAAAATCTGTTTAAAAAACTTTTTTTTAAGTATAAAGACCAATTTAGTCGGTGTTGGAAAATTTGAGGGGTAAAATTAATGGAGTAACTACTTTTAAAGAGCCTGTCTGCCAGAGAGCCATGCAAAATCCAAATTATTGTCCAAATGGCAAGTCAGAACTTTTGAAATATTTTCATACTTTTGAAATCTTGTATATGAAGGAAAAGTAAAAATATATCTTAGACTTTGTTGCATTGTAACTATTTTTAGAAACAGCCTCATTTGCATAAATGCCTAAAAATCACTAAAATGCTAGAAAAAAACGTGTATAGTTTCAACTCAATAAATTCTGATTTTTAACAGTGTTACTGGCCATTTAAACTTATATTTGATAAAAATGACCTGGATAGACAAAAAGAAACTATGTTAGGAAAGATTTTTCTCAAATGATTATTCTGTGGGAGGTATTAAAGAAGGCATTGTAGGCCACAGTGAATTTTGAAGGAAGTTTTAAAAGTTCTATTGTTTTTAAATTATTATTTTCTGTACCGAATAAACGTCTTCAAAGTTTTTTAAATTGTGTTTCTAACATACATACTGCGACAAAGCTGCTGGTTGACTGACAACTCCAACCTGTATCATTGTGCCGTTCTGCCAAAAAAATTTAAAAAACTTTATCATTATTTCAAAATGGTCTTGACAATCTAACTACATCTCCTTATCTTTACATTAAAGACCAAATGTCAAAGGTGATTTTGAAATATTTTTCTAAACTGTATTTGTATAAAAAAGTACTATAAAAACTGTGGCATCCTTTTATTAAATTTATACTTTAGTCAGTGAGAAAGCATACCAGGTAATTAATTTCTAAGTTGTAATTGGCTTTGAACTAGCTTTCTCTAAGATAGATACTTTGTGTCTTTTGTATTCATGTTAATTGTTGTTTGTACTTCACATAAATCTGATAAGTCAAGCCATTTCCAACTGATTTTTACAGTTTATTCTTACACTGTGATGTTACAAAACTCTCCCAGGTTAATGAGAGGGTTGAGCGCTCACAAACACGTTTAACTCTCTCAAATTAGTAATGTGCCTGTCTCTAGTCAAGAGCCTGTAATTCAGTGATTATCGTTAGTTGCTGTCTGTCTCTAGTCAAGAGCCTGTAATTCAGTGATTATCGTTAGTTGCTGTCTGTCTCTAGTCAAGAGCCTGTAATTCAGTGATTATAGTTAGTTGCTGTCTGTCTCTAGTCAAGAGCCTGTAATTCAGTGATTAACGTTAGTTGCTGTCTGTCTCTAGTCAAGAGCCTGTAATTCAGTGATTATCGTTAGTTGCTGTCTGTCTCTAGTCAAGAGCCTGTAATTCAGTGATTATAGTTAGTTGCTGTCTGTCTCTAGTCAAGAGCCTGTAATTCAGTGATTATCGTTAGTTGCTGTCTGTCATATTTGTTATTCCCCTATTGTTTTGTCATAAAATTTGGTTTTCTTGTTTGAATTGTGTTTACATTTTGTTATGTTGGGACCTTTTATAGCTGACCCTAGAGTATTGGTTTTGCTCATTGTTGAAGGTTGAACAGTGAACTATATTATATATGCTTACATCTACATCATTTGTACTCTGGTGGATAGTTGTCTCATTAGCAATCATTTCACATCTCCTTATTCTTATACTAAACATAAAAAATAATCCCTCTAGATGAATGTATGACCAAGGTGAACTGTATATGTCACATCCATATTTGTGGTAGGGCATAGTAACCCTAAAACTTACCTCAAGATATATGAAATGGATGGCATATCTGTAAAATGTTCTCCAATCTCTTACACCTGGAAACAGTATACAATTGTTTAGAAACTAGCATATATTTATATCAATGTTAAGAATTTTTAAATAAAGCCAGAAAAATTGGTACATTCAAACATTTGTATACAATAAATATGAATATTTTAGCAAAATCTATTTATATGATAGTTAGTGGAAAGATATCATTCAAAAAGTAATTTGATAGAATCGAGAAGAGATCAGCTAAAGCTAACATTTAACGTGAGGGTACCAAAAGTGCACCTATTTTGTCGGTTTATCCACCTTCGTTTAATTAAGAAACAGACAAAATTTTCCATTCTGTGTTTCTTTTGTAGATGTGTCGTTATTTACTGTATAGTTCCACATATTTAATTTTGAATCCATGCTGAATCATAGAAAAATGGGTTTGAACCGACCCCCAAAATGATCCAAGATTCTGCAATGCGGAGTACCTAAATTGCACCCATGCTTAACAACACATCTGTAAAAATCGAATAACTGATGTTTTGTTTTAATTCTTCACATTTTTTGAACAATTGGTCAACAGTCCATGCCTTTGTTATGTATTTCGTATGAAATAAATGACTGTCACATATTTAAATTTATTTTTTTTTAAATTAGACTTTTTATAGATGTCGCATGCAACGTTTACGTAAATTTCACCTTTTCACTGGAGACTTTATATGTTGAAATATAATGTGACTGTTTTGTTAATATCTAAGTATATCTAGCTATGTTAAGCTATGCATAATGGCGAATTGTTTAGTCTCTAAGAAAACCTACAAGATTTCCTCTAGTTTTGTTTTTGCAAAATGGATTCAATTTGGGTACTGGGTGCAATTTGAGTACTGTGACATTACATGTCGAAACTTAAATGAACGCTCTCTTGTCAAAATACATATCATCTTTGTCTCATATTGCTGTGAGAAATTATGAAAAATGGCTGCAGATGTGACACAAATGCTGGGGGTACTCAGTATTCTAACACACTCTTGTTGAGAACTAAAAACCATACCATGACTTTTGGGATAGAAGGCATCTTTTGACTCCCCCTTTTCAATTGAAGTACTACCCCTTGCAAAGCATTCCATTTGCTTAATTATCATTTTACTTACCAAATGAATGATCCCTGATTGTTGTTAATGTGACAAATTTCTCATCAAATCCATCAACCTTCACTTTACCACGCAACTCTCCCCACAGTTCATAATGTGTCTGATGTTTACTGAAGTAAATAAGATACCGGTACATGATTATTTGCTTAATGTCAAGTTTCATGCATATAAAGGAAGAAAATAAGATACTAGAACATATTTAGCAACAAACAATATCCTACCATTTTGGGCAATTCAATTTTTGATATACCTAAACCCTTAAACAAGGTTTTTATGTTCCCATTCCTCTTCCTTTAACAGGGCCTTGGTGGCCAAGTGGTCCAAGTAGTTGAACTACTGTATCACTAGCCTGTCAACACTGAAGTTGTGAGTTTGAATCCCACACATGGCATGTGCATTCAACTCCAATCTTCATTGACTAGGATTGTCAGTTTACCTACCAAAAGTCAGTGATTCTTTCCAGGCATTTCGGCTTCCTCTACCAATAATTACTGACTGCCACAAAATAACCAATAATGCTGGTGTTAATACCAATCAATCAATCATCCTTTAACAATAGGGGCCTGGGTGGCCGAGTGGTCTAAGTAGTTACTACTGTAATCACTAGCCAGTCAAAACTGAGGTTATGAGTTCGAACCCCGCTCGTGTGGGTGCACTCGACTCCAATCTTACTTGACTAGGATTGTCAGTTTTCCTATCGAAGGTCGTGGTTTTCTCCGGGCACTCCGGCTTCCTCAACCAATAAAAACTGGCCGCCACGAAATAGCCCAAAAGCGGTGCTTAATAGTGGCGTTAAAACACCAAAAATCAAATCAAATCCTTTAACAATAAATCTTTATTATTCAAGTTCTCTATAACTGAACTTGAGATGATACAACACTTATGCAGTTCCTATTTTAAATAAACTGCTTCGCTGAGCGCAGCTGGATACGCCTGCAGAGGTCCAACCCTGAACAGTTGGGGCAAAAATGGCCACAATATTCAAGCTTGATACAGGTCTGAATTTGGATTGTAATTAAATATTTGACATATTATAGGTTTCTGAATAAATGTAGTCAAAGAACTTGAAATTGGTTATATGAATTGAATTTATATTCAATTAAAGATTTCTTGCTATTGTGCAATACACTATGATGTTGTGCAATACTTAGTAAATCTGTTGTCAGACTATAAACAAATAAAATTTATAAATTCTAAAGGGAGCTTACATCAATAGATATAATCAATTCACCAAAGTTTCATAAGAATTGCTGAAAGCATTTTTGAGTTATTGTCTGAAAACTGGAAAATCCCCCCTTTTTTAATGAATAAAACCCCATAACTCTGAAATGTAAAATCTAAAATTTATAAAATTCTAAAGGGAGCTTACATCAATAGATATCAACAATTCATCAAAGTTCATGAGAACTGCTAAAAGCATTTTTGAGCTATTGTCCGAAAACTGGAAAATCCCCCTTTTTTTTATGAATAAAACCCCGTAACGTGGAAATGTAAAATCTCAAATTTATAAAAATCAAAAGGGAGCTCATGTCAATAGATATAAACAATTAACCAAAATTTCTTGCAAGTTGGTGACAGCATTCTTGAGTTATTATCCAAAAACTGGAAAATCCCCCCTTTTTTAATGAATATAACCCCACAACTCGGAAAAGTAAAATCTAAATTTATAAAAAAACGAAAGGGAGCTCACGTCAATAATTATAAACAATTCACCAAAGTTTTATGCAAATTGGTTAAAGCGTTTTTGAGTTAATTTCCGACATGTTGACGACGGACAGACAACGGTATACGATAATATGTCCCGTAAACTGGCGTATAAAAAGAAATCATAAATTTGACACCTTCTTATAAGTATGGCATATACCTTCTTAATGCATCCCAAAACTGTTTGGTCCATAGTTCCCTGGAAACAGCATCAGCTAAGGCTGATTGGTTCATATCTGTATCAAAACTGAATGGATCAGACACTGTTTGCCATCTAAAAATAAAATGAGAGTTATTTGGTGCATAACATAATATCTTATATTTATTACTTAAATTACATACTGGAATTTTTTTTATGCATATACATTTTCATAATGCTTGAAATATAAATATTTATAACTGTAACTGTAATTCTCTATAAATGCTATTTTTAATAACTTTCTTAAATAATGTGTTTTTTTGTTAAATTGTAGGACAGAAATAGAGACAAAGTCATCTTAAAGGGAAACTCCGCAAAAAAATGAAAAATTGATATTTTGTTCTTTAAGCATAAAAAACCACATGTTGATAAATAAAAAACTTTTATTCTCTATGTAAAGAGATCAAAATCGATTTTTGAAATTCACTATCAGTTCTCGACATATCGCCATCTTGTCGGCATGTTCGATCTAAAAAGTCACGTGATATCTATAAACCACAAAGAACAAAAAGAATCGGGGATTTACCGACCGTGCGTTAAAAACTCCCATCATCAATTGGGGATTACCGTAGACGGTTATTCAGTGTCAAAATGTCTTGTCAAGCGTACGGTTGTTCTGTCAGACAAGGTTATGACAAAAGTCTACATAGTTTTCCCAATCCCCCAAAAAAAAGAAAGAATTGTATCAGACATGGTTGTACAACCTTAAACTAACTGCAAATAGTTGCATCTATAGCAAGCACAAGTTGGTGTGTGAAGACCATTTTGAACAATATTGTTTCGAGGGAGATTCGATGGTAATTATCCTTTTTTAATAACAAAATAACCTAGCAGTTCTGATAGCTATAGTTATCAAATCCTTATATGATAAGAACTCGTTGAATAAAAAAAATATAGATTTGATGAGGAAGAAAAGTTTCAATTACAAATGTATAAGAAAGACAAATGCAGTGTTCTTGTAACAATCACTAATTTACAGAAGATTCATTAGTATGCCTCTTTTATATAAAGTGCATTGATTTGTATAAAGAATAGTTCCGTATTTAGACAAGATAATTTTTCAATTAATAAAGTTAAACGATATAAAATAACATTTTTTTAATTATGATATTTAACGGCTATTGACAAGGAGCAATGTTAGGAAGAGGTTTTAGCTGGGACATAATATGTTGATATAGTAAAATATTCCCAGGTTATAGATATGTAAATATCGAAATATCGGACATCTCAATTTTTTTTTTATTAAAAGTGGGTTTTTTTAACTAATCTTATAAATTATATCAAATTGATACGGGATCAATTCGGAACGGTCACTTATAAAGACACTTAGCTTTACAGTTAAATGTGTGACTCTATCTGGTATGTTCGGTGACAAATTTATAGGTTTTTTTTCTTTTTAAATTTTATTTACGTTATCTTATTATATATATATATTTTGGCTTCCTCCCGAATTGATAATAGGTATGTCAGAATTATTGATAGATGTCGTGTCAGAGCGACACATTCAGTTAGGTATTCCACGGACGTATATTAGATACACGTCCCTGGGTATTCCAGTGACATCCTGTCAACTAAAAATTCGTATTACACAATTATATAATACAGGTTCATGCATGGCCTCTTATTGAGGTACCCGGTGTGCACAGGTAACATTTATTGAACCATATATTTGTGTCTAACGTTGTTTATCTCAGTGTGTGTGTTTGAAATTATAATTCCACCTTTTAATGAATGATGTTCTGATAATAATATTATCCAATAATTATTCTGATGATAAGTTTAAAAAAATTATAAACATGACCTTTGAACATTTTTGTGAAATGAACATTGTTTTGTCATGATTCTGGACCATATTTAAAAAAAAAAATTCTTCACGCAAATACAAGCTTTTGTCGATTAACAAACATGTAGATATATAAAGTAATGCAGCACTTATAGTCACTATCAATATTAATTCATTGAAGATAAGAGAGCCCCTTCTATGTCTAATGTCCCTATCTTTATAAGGATTAGGACGACAGGGGGAAAAAGGAGCGGAGATAGAGTGGCATAATGCAAAAAAAAATAACCGAATAGAGAACAATATAGAGAATGATCGACGAAAAGCGAAATAGTTATTGTAAAGGAGCGGAGATAAAGAGAGGCATAGTGAAAAAAATGTTTGCTTGACAAAGTTATTGCTCGCTTTGATATTTTTAGTTATACAAAATCACACATCGTGTTCCTAATTGGTTTTCACGTGCACTAACTTGATGCTGGGAACAGTATATTAATATATATGTTCCTGCTTGATGTGTTAAGTTTCTGCATAGCATGGTTAAAAATAATTAGTATCCCATTTGTTATATCGTAGTGTCACGGTGTTACTTTGTTAAATTTATTTAGTTTGTTAATGATTGTGTAAATAAGAATAAATCTGTATAAAAACTTCATACCATTTTAATGATTGCCTATAGGCGTTTGATTATTGTTACATTTAAGATATATATATATATATATATTTAGAACCTTTCATACATCTTAAAGTAAAAGATGTGTGTCTGAGTTAAACGACACAAGAACCCTGTAATACTAGTACGAGAGTATAGCATGTAAAAATTCCTACTCAATATGGTTGTATTGGAAATCTTTCATACAGATTGACAACTCATGGTCCGACATGCATGTAATATTTTCCACATGACGCTCATAGTTCTTTCTACCATCATCATCTTATTCATTAAATATTGCTGTAAACATCGATGGTTCACACCCAAACAAAATGGGAGTAATATACCTTCAGATCTTCTCCGTGGTATACACTTGTGAAATATATAGACGAAATTCGGTATTGAAGTGAATCTACATCTCACAAACACAATTTTTGAATTACGATTTTGAATGAACACCCACCAAACCAATACAAACGTATGGCAAGATATAACCATGCAGGCATTTAGTTTTCGTCAGACACAAGATAAATAATCACTCTCATAAACGTATATATGCATGCAGTTTCAAATATCAAGAACAAGCGGTCGATGTCTATAGATCATTGTTAAGTCCGTTTACTAACTGTTCAGAGTCAGACATGTCAATAGTTCATTCTTGAGACCTTCATATACCCCATCCGACGATGGGAACTCTTTCTGATAGTGTTGACAACATAAGCTTGTTTATCTGTACAAGTGGTTGCATGGCCTCTCCTGCCCCCAACAAACAAATACGCTACTAGTCTGCTATCTCTGGAGCTCATCCTCAATGGCGTTTTTACGTCAGGAAACTTACAAGTATACTAGTAAAGATTGTTTCAAGAACAACGAGGTTGGGACGAACTGTTCTAAAATCGTCAATATCAGAAATACATTACTAAGATATGCCTTTAATTACAACAACTGTATTACTAATTTGGATGAATGACGGCTATCCTAAAAAAAATCCTCAAACAAATTAATGTATTAGCTTAGATTTATAATGTATGTATATTCATTAATTAAATAAACGATAATTGGTATTCTTTTCACAAATAATTTGTCTAAGTGATTGTCAAATGAATTTAATTATGTAAGAATGAAATGTTAATAAGAAAATTAAAAAAAATCATGCATGTTGTACTGTTGTATTTTTTCAATTAAAAACTTTAAAATTGCGATAGTTTTACGATTGTTAGCATTTAAACATCGCCAGATTTAAATACAAGTTAAAGAATTCCGGTAAAGTAAATTAAACAGATGTGCAATGATTATTAATTCGGAAATGTAACATTTAATTTTTAAGAATAAAAGTACTATTCTTTTAACTTCATATCTTAACTTTATGCTAATTGCATAGAACGTAACCGAAAATTGTTCCATTTTAATATTGTAACACTTCCGGAATTAAAAAGTTGAATGTTAATTTTCAATTAATTTATACAATTCAATTATTGTTTCTCTATTGTCATCGGGTATTTCATCTGGGTATATTAAACACGCTATACTCTTTCTGTTAATCCATTCAAAATGACAATATTCACACCTGTGTACGCTTGAATTCACACCTGTGTACGCCTGAGGCTAAATTGCTGCAAGGTAAAATTCAAACGAATTCTCCTCAAATCGAGAAATAAACAATAACTTTACAAAATAATATACACACTCTGTTCACAAATATTTTGCATTGAAATGGTTATCAAAGTTATAACGGTAAATAAAACTTAAAATATTTTCAGTTCAATAGCAGTAAAAATGTTCTACAGATATTTTATGAAAAAATCTCAATAATTTATAAAATTAATTCGAAAATATTTATATTTAGATAACTTCATATAGGAAGTTTTATTCAATCAATACAAAACGGTACACACATATTCATTTTCTTTCATTCTTATATTGTGGTTATTAACTACGACCAACGGTCATCTGTGCGCTTTTAATTACGTAAAATTCTGATAAGCAATTAAGACTTTAACAGATTTTATTTTTTCCCATGATTCAACAAATCGGGTTAAAACGTCACAACCCAGTGACGTAGGTCAACCAAAAAAGTTACAAATACTTGATTTTCTCCGTTAATAGAAAGAATATAAATTTAAAACTTTGTGAATGTGTTTTTTATGTTAAGATGAACATATTTAGATGATAAGTAAAAAATCGCGGACTTTCCCTTTAAGCAGTTCTGTTATTCCACTTTCAGGCATTACCATTCTAAATTAAATACATTAAATGGAAATATCAACTAATTTATTCTTATTGACTGCACAACAATAAAGATAAAAGAACAGAGTTCCAATGTCCCCGCGTTGCACATATTTTATATTTCCAAGGGGCATAGCTCTTTTAAAAAAAGTTGATCGGCCAACATTAAAGAACTTGTCAGAGATATTGCTGATATTAACCTATAGTATAAGTTTTATAAAAATCTGGCAAGAATTGTACCCGAGAGAGTGCTAACGAGGCCATTTTCCATAAATTTAATATTTCCAAGGGGCATAACTCTTTTTAAAAAAGTCGATCGGCCACCATTATAGAACTTGCAGAGATATTGCTGATATTAATCTATAGTATAAGTTTTATAAAAATCTGGCAAGAATTGTACATGTGAGAGGGCTAACGAGGCCATTTTCCATAAATTTAATATTTCCAAGGGGCATAACTCTTTTTAAAAAAGTCGATCGGCCACCATTATAGAACTTGTCTGAGATATTGCTGATAGTAACCTATAGTATAAATTTTATAAAAATCTGGCAAGAATTGTACCTGTGAGAGCGCTAACAAGACTGGACGAACGGACGGACAAACGGACACCCGGTATTTCCAGTATTAGAATCAAGCTTACAATATGGATAAAAGATTTGGCACCCTGCTAGTAATGTTTAGAGAAATTATGTGGATTTGTAGATATCTTGATATCTGCTTGTGTAGTTGTCAGTATACATGTTGTCATTAAAGTAATAAAATATGTTGGCACTCAAGAAATAACTTACATTAATGACATCTGTACATGAACTAATCTTTCTGTACCTTCAAACCTAAAATAAATGAAATAAATATTAATTTGTCAGATGAATAACTTTTTTAAAAGTCTCAATTTCAAATAAAAACAATTACCATTTAATCAAACAAACAAACAAATATTTTATTTGCCAATCACGGCGCCCAAAATGAGCAGAATATTTCCAATATAATTTCAAACAGAATATAAAAGTAAATTAAAAATAGGTTAAACAAAGTACATAACATGATTAATTTTGATTTAATTGATTAATATATAATATCAAAGTAGCTGAAATAAGTAATTTGTTATAATAAAAATATATAATATGAACCATTGTTTGTTATTCTGGACCCTTTATTGGACAGTACACCTCACAGCATACCAATTATTAATTAAATGTAAATAGTAACTATTGTAAATGCATATATGATCATATATATCTATAACTCTGTATAAAGTATTCTTATTTAGTATTGTATTCCTGTTTTTATTTAAAACCTCTAATAATTGACAAATTATTATCAAAATATGTTTATCTTCATTTCCCATTAACCAAATAAACAGAGATTTGTTATCAAGTTTTGAAATATTTTTATTTTTACTAAATATTTTGCTTAGATAGGAATTTCTAGCATTAACAAAAGCTTTACATGTTAAAAGAAAATGCATCTCATCTTCTACATCCTCATTACAGAGTTTCCATATTCTATTTTCTAATTTTATATTAAAGTAACTCCCTTTTTCTATTTCAAGTTTTGAGCTCCAATTCTAAATCTTGTTAAAACACATCTGTGAAGATATGGTAATTTCAATAAGTATGGCTCAAAATTAAAGTTTGGTTTGAATAATCGATAAGTTCAAAGTTTATTTCCAGAGGTCTTATTTTGTCTTTTATCATTGAATAATTCTTTCTTCCATAACCTTTTTTATATAACATATTTTTGGCTTCTGAAAAGCTGCCAGATGCACTAAAAGTTATGCCAAGATAAGTATAATGTTGGGTATTTTGGATGTATGTGTCTTTATATGAAAGCTGTGCATCTTTAATACGGCCAGATGTATTAAAAACTATAGATTTTGTTTTTTTTAAATTAACTTCTAAACCCCAATTTTCACAATAGATTTCCAGCTTATTTAATGCAGTCTGTAAGCCTTTTTTAGATTCAGAAAGCAGTACAAGATCATCAGCATAAAGAAGACAATTTAATGAAATATTTGATAGCAATACTGGGTCACAGGTTTCATCTAATAAAGAAGATTTAAAATCATTAATAAATATTTTAAAGAGACTCCAATAGTTATGATTAATCAAGGGAAATGTAAACAAATATATTTTTTTTTATCTATGACTCTCGAGATATTTGTGGAAACCAACAAAGTTACAATATAAAATTAATTGCTGTTTTTTGTTGTTTTTTTTAATATAAGAAACACATGCAAAGTTCCTTTACATTTTGCATGAAGACTGGAAGCAATTCCTGCTATAAATTTGATGGCCACTTGCTTTCATTTTGTAAATTTTATAAAATTCAGCATTCAATTCTTGAGCCTTATGATGCTTATCACCTATGTTAAAATTGGAACGAAAAACATAAATTTTTTTTTTATAAATTTCAAAATTGTCAATTAATCAGATAAAATTTATGACAAAGTCTAGATCATGCAGTAATATTCCAGACAGGCATTCAAAGATAAAATTGGACACTTTGAAAAAAGGCAGTTTAAGTAACATCATCTAGAAGAGCAAAAAGTAACTATAAAAAAAATCATTTCCTTGTTCAATTCAGCTCAATCAAGTTTGAATAAATCTGTATACTAAAGGTAGCCATAAAAAAAACTAAAATTGAGAATGGAAATGGGGAATTTGTCAAAGAGACAACAACCCGACCATAGAGCAAACAACAGCCCAAGGCCACCAATGGGTTTTCATTGCAGTTCCAGTTACTGACATGCCAGCTCCAGACCTCAATTAAACTGATTAAAAGATTATGTCTTCATCATATGAATATCAGGCACAATCCCTCCTGTTAGGGGTTAAGTATTATACCGTCATAAAATATATGAGAAGAACATAACCTGTGTCATACCGGTACCTAATTTTAAGCTGATTTCTGTATGAACTTTATGAAACCAAAGCTGACCATATCCCTAAGCTGTCCATAATTATTTCATATCCATAAGCTCTCTATTATATATTCCATATCCGTAAGCTCTCTATTATATATTCCATATCCCTAAGCTTACCATTATATATTCCATATCCCTAAGCTTACCATTATATATTCCATATCCCTAAGCTTACCATTATATATTCTACATCCCTAAGCTTACCATTATATAGTCCATATCCCTAAGCTGACCATCATATTTTCCATATCACTAAGTCTAAGCTTACCATTATATATTCCATATCCCTAAGCTGACCATTATATTTTCCATATCCCTAAGCTGACCATTATATTTTCCATATCCATATGCTGACCATTATATATTCCATATACCTAAGCTTACCATTATATATTCCATATCCCTAGACTGGACCATTATATATTCCATTTCCATAAGCTTACCATTATATATATTCCATATCCCTGCTTATAAGCTGATCATTATATAAAATCTGTATACTTAGCTGGCCATTACATAATCTGTATACTAAGCTGACCTTTACATAATCTGTATACCTAAGCTGACCTGTACATAATCTGTATACCTAAGCTGGCCATTATAAGATATTTTCCATTTCTTCATTGGTTCAACCATTTCTATCTTGACTCCACCAGCGGTATATTCATTGTTACTGACATTACTGACCAGGGTGTCAGGATGTAATGGATGCTGTAGCCGACCTATCCCAGGAATCTCCAGAACTAACCAAACTTCTGATTGACGATTGTGCCTCCTACCTATACGTAATGCTAATCTTGTTCCTTCTTTGCTGAAACCACCGTAGTAAACAGCATCTATTGCCTATAAAACAGTTATCTTTTTATGTGTTCTGCAACTTTAAGTTTAAAAATTAGGTATCATTGCATAATATGACTTTTACCACTTCTTGGAAGGCAATATCAAGTCAATGGTGGACTTGTCTGTAAATACTGTGGATTTATCATTATTTGTTTGGCACAAATTTTCTTCGATTTCGTAGATGTAGCTTGACCATGAATTTTCAAGTGTTATACAAAGTTCAAATCTCCTATAGGCTTGTATCAAGTGTTCTCAAAAATACACTTTATGCTCAATCGAAGAGAATTCATACCCACAAAAATAAAGGTATCCACAGTAAAGCAAAATGGTAACCACAAAATCTAGATATATCTATTGGTGTTTAATTACAATTCAACAGATTGAAAAACCAGTCAACTGTTTTCTCCATTATCTCTTTTCAAATACTCAGCCATTTCTAGAAGTATATTTCAATTATTGCATATGTCAAAGAAATGTTCTGTCAACAAATGATTTTCAATTGTTTCATTAATTAGAACTTTTTTAGTACCCACCACTGTTTCGGTGAGTCATAATAGACCTTAATATCTAGAAAAAGTGATCTGCTGAAGTACTATAGCAAATGTTTCAAAACCTCATATATTTTATCAAGATTGTAACAGAAACTCTACATTTCAAAAATTTCAAATCAATACCTCTTCACAATACAGAAAAATGGGAATTTTAAAATTTTGTTATAAATTAGGCCGCTAGTTTTCTCAATTGAATTGTTTCATATTTTTCATGTCGGGCCTTTTATAGCGTACTATACGATATGGGTATTTCTCATTTTTGAAGGCCGTACGCTTGCCTATAATTGCTTATATCCACTTTATTTTAACTTTGGTGGATAGTTGTCTCATTGGCAATCAAACCTCATCTCCTTATTTTTATATTGAGTATAATAAAAAAATCTCACTTTGTACCTGATTCATGTATATGTATTTTCTCTGAAGAAGGCATTTTCAAATTTTTGGACAACTTAACAAATTGTGTGAAAATTTGTGTTTGTTCATTTTAGCTTTTTCCAGTGAAGGCTTATTCTAAAATAACAAATAACTTCTTTTATTACAATAATCAATGTGTGTGTGTGTGGGGGGGGGGGGGGGGTGTAGGGGTTAGCATTATGACACTGTAGTATTTTCAATACAATAATTTTACATCAATGGGTTCCAACTAAACTGAAAAAATTCAGCATGTGATGTAACTCTATCAAACATATCTGTATATTAATTCAAAACTTTTTGAAAATGTCTTACATATGGATCTTTTTCTAATTCCTGGACTTTTTCTAACACATGGATATCATTTATTCCCATTCCGTAACCACGACTACTGTAACTATTACCATCAACTGCTTTCTTTTTCTTGTTCTTCCATCGATTTCGTTTCAAAAGGAGCATAAATATAAACTTCTTCACATGATACCATTTCCCTGAAATAACTCATACCTATGTAAATCTAATCTATGAAAGGTATAGGTTCTCAATGGCTGGTGATATGACATCAGGAAAGAAAACATGCATATTAGTGGTCTGATTTTCCCTATGACAGATCCAGACAAGAGCTGTCAGAGTGACATCAAACCAGATTTCCTGCAGAGGTTGAACCCTGAACAGTTGAGCAAGTATGGACACTACATTTAAGCTTAAAACAGCTCTGAATTTGGATTGTGATTGAATATTTGACACAGCATAGGTTTGTGACACAAAATGAATGTGGTCAAACAACTGAAAAATTTGAAATTGGACATTTACCTATTATGGTCAAATATCCAAAATCTAAGTACACTGTTAGAATAGGCATATCAAAGAACCCCAAGAATTCAATTTTTGATGAAATCAAACAAAAGTTTAAATTTAGGACCCTTTGGACCTCAATGTGGACCAATTTGATAAAGGAGCCCAAAGTCAAAAAACTCTACATACATGGTTAGATTAAAAAAAAACCAAAAAATCAATTTGTTGAAATCAAACAAAGTTTAATTTTGGACCCTGATTTGGACCAACTTGAAAACTGGGCCCAAAAATCCAATATTTAAATACAGGTTTAGATTCAGCATTTGAAAGAACCCTATATATGTTTAATTTCTGTTGAAATGAAAGACAGTTTAATGTTATCCATATACTTATTAATTTTCTGTTCAAAGGGAAATAACTCAAACTGAATAAATGATAAACAAATAGTTCTCTAAAATTAGATATGATTTAACCACTAAAAAATAGTTCTCTAAAATTAGATATGATGTTATATATTTTCAAATTATAATCAATAAAATTAGATATGATTTAACCACTAAAACATTGTTAGAATCAGCATATCAAAGAACCCCAAGAAAACAATTTTTGATGAAATCTAAATATATGTTTATTAATAGACAATATAAGCTTAGTTTTTAAAGGAGTTCACTTCATCAAAAAAAAAAAAATATATATATAGCATTCAGACAATTAGTTTATACAGAATAACAAACAAACCTACCACAAAATTCTTCAAATAATTTACCAAAGAAAAGAAAAAAAAAATCCAAAATGTCATTTATCATTAATACAATGTCTTTTAAAAAGCTATAAAACTTATCTGTAAGTGTGATCAAACTTTATATATATATTTTAACCATTTCTGTTCGAAGGGAAATAAATTAATCACATAATAAGTACCACTTTTGATTATTGGAAAGGGATATAACTCAACAACGAGAAAAGCTAAAATGCTGAAAATTGAACTTGACCTTTATATAGTCACAGGAAACAACATATCTAAATTTGAAAAAATTTCGTCAAAGCATTTTCATGTTAATAAACGGACACTGTTTGGCAGCCGCCTGCCCGCCCGCTTGCCGGCCGTACATCCCCAAATCAATAACTGATTTTTCCTTCGAAAATCTGGTAAAAAATTAACAAAAAGAAAACATGGAACAAAATATTTCAGCTATGATTTTTCTTGTTAAAAAAAGTAATGGAAGTGGTAGCAGTTACCATGTAGCAGTATCCATAATTTCATTACTCATGTTAGAGGCAAGAGTTCAGCAAGATGAAATTGAAATGAAAATAAGTCAAATATGTTGATTTCATTTTACAGACAGTGTAGACTAAGAGACAAGAAATTAGAGGAGGAAATGGTATATAACATAAGGAAAAGAAAATTTGTCCAATCTATCAAAATAAAGGTACTAGAATTATTATCTCACTTTTGATAATCTCAATGCACTACTAATGCTAAGCTTATTACGTTGTACATGTGTATATGAATAAAAGCAGATGTGAGGTGTACACCACCAAGAAGCTTATTACGTTGTACGTGTGTATATGAATAAAAGCAGATGTGAGGTGTACACCACCAAGGCAAACAATAACAACAACAAAAACAAACCAAAACAATCTTCTCAAGATCAGCACATAAGGTTTGTTTGTTTTTTGTTTTTTTTTTTCATTTGGATTTCATTCTTCGGATGGTATGGTTATTAATTCTAAATTTCATTCCTTAGATCATATGTTTATTAGTTCTTGTTTGCATTCCTAAGATCATATGGTTATTAGTTCTAGTTTACATTCCTGGGGTCATATGGTTATTTAAGTTCTAGGTTTCATTCCTTAGATCATATGGTTATTAGTTCATTCCTGGGGTCATATGGTTATTAGTCCTTGTTGATAATTGTTTAACTTTAGCATTGTACTTTCTTTTTCTAAGGTTATTATTACCTGGTTGTCTGTAAACACCATCTATTGGTTTTGGTTGTGGCTTGATAAACTGCCACAGAAAAATGATGCTACTGCCACCAGCAATTACAGTCCAAAACATAATTCTAACCAACCTAAAAAACAAAGCAAAACATTCAACTGCTGTAAACATCCACATAGGGTGTCACAATTATTTTTTATTCTTAATAAATTAACAATAAATATCATTTTCACATATTAAGTTTGTTTGAAACAAATATGTGTATTTAGGGTTAAATTCCTAAAACCTACAGGGTTTGCAGGTCTGATATTTTGTTATAAGCTGGAAAATACACCAATTGCAGTTCTGGTTACATATATATTGCTTTACCAGAAATGACTTTCTGTTTGTATGGACATCTTAGATAGCATGTTTATATTCAGTTAAATTTCAAAAACAAACATCCACTTTATTGATATATTCAATATAATATTCATGGAGGTCATAGGTATTATCATATATGTTCAATGTAGTATATGGTTGTAAAATGACTGAAACTGAGACACAAACAGGAATTCCCAAAATATTGAAAGTAATTTCTAAAGAACCTAATCTCAGGGGCGGATCCAGCCATTTTTAAAAAGGGGGTTCCAACCATATGTCCCCATTCAAAAGCATTGGTCTTCAAAAAAAGGGGGGTTCCAACCCCCCGACCCCCCCCCCTGGATCCGCCACTGAATCTGAAAAAGATGTATTTGTGAACAAGGGAAATGTGTATAGATTATTATAATATGTCTAAAGTGTAAAATGATATTTTTTATTGAAATACATAAAATTTGTTTAGAAACATACATCTATTCAATATAAGTAATTGTCACTAATCCTATCCCTTGTGTGGACCTCAAAGTCTCATGATACCATCTTTAGATGTTAAGCTGTACTTTTGTTGCCGAATACTATATTATATTAACCATGTTAACATCTTGGGTATGCTGTTATATTGTCTTCCAAAAATTTAACGTGAACTTTTTTTGTATTTTTTGAAGCAATGAAACATTAAAGTGAAAGCTGTTGAACTATTAACAATCAAGTGATACAATCTTCCATACGTGAAAGCCTCTTAGACATTAAACTTTACACTTCCCTCACCTGGACAAACCAAATTGATTGATCTGCTCCCAAATTTCATTTAGATTTCATCTACTATAAAAGTTTTTAAAAAATTCTATATTTAGATTGTAGAAAAATTATTTTATAATGGTTATTGTAGCTTACCCCTAACTTATTTAAGTTGTTTAGTGTTATGAGTGTAGAGTATAGTAGTATAGTAAGTTTAAATTTAAGGTTAAAACAGAATCTTGAAATTACAAAAGAGAGTTGCTGCTAGAAACCTAGAATCATAGTAGATACAGACACTTTTGCATCTTCTTTAATCTAGGCCCTTATTCAAATAATTAAACTGGATGACAGTTGAACAGAGAATAAAATATCACAAAGTTATGTGTATTAAAAAGAATGCCCAATCATATCTTAACTAGAAAGTCTCATTATGTTTCAGACCAAAATCCAAACCTCTTGAGAAATGCTATTCAAGGAAACCTCATACTTCCTAAACCAAAATTGCATTGTTCAAGTAATCTTTGATGTATTTTTGACCATCCGTGATTTCTTGTGGACCAATTTGCCTTCATCTTTTGGAAATACATGTATTACAAATGTTTATCTTTCACATACAAAATCAAACAACAATGTTCCCAGAACTTGTCCAAGTTATTGCATATATAAACCTTTGATTGAAATTTGATACAAATCTGGCAAAAAATGTACATGTGAGCATCCTAACAATGCAATTTTCCAAATAATTAATAGTTCCATGGGACACAACTCTTTTAAAAAGAGTTAGTTGGCACTGATTTTCAAATTGTTTGAGACATAGCTTAGATATGCATTTTATCAAAATCTAGCAACAATTGTATACATGTACTTGAGAGCGTTTAGACGTGCACTTAGAAGACTGGTTGGTGGGAGACACGGACAGACAGATGCCTGGTATTTCTATGACCATGGGTGTAGGCACTTAAGGCACGAGCCTACACATAACTTTTTCACAAAACATTTTAAATTTTGTATTCATTAAAAAAATACTGGCAATGTTACATCTGTAGATGCATGTGGAGTCGTAAAAAATCTTTAATCATCAAATACATGTCAATTGTACACTTAAGTCTATCATCATTAACGAAAGGAGTATTGGATAGAATTTTATGTACATTATGTTCCACCTGATATAGAATACACCACCATAGTGCATTATTTTCTGTATGTAAATGTCATGCTTCCCAACAAGGGCCATTCATTGGAACAGTAAATAGTCTTATTCTTATTCTAATACCCTGACATTTTATTCTAAGATACATTATTTTTTTTTTATTGTTACCCTTTGATAATGGCTTTTGACTAGCTAGCTTTCCAATTTGGTCTTCATCTGACCAACAGTAAAACCTTTCCCAAAGTGGGGCTTCAGAATGATTGTGTGGGATGTATAAATACCTTGTCATGTCTGATCAGAATGGGGACCTTAAATCTGATGCCTCATGTAGAGAATTTGATTTAAAAAAAAGCTTATATTTACAAAGTAGAATAACCGTAATTATACAAATTCCTAAGCAGGTAAGAATTTTTCTGTTTAGGATATCAAAAAATATGAATTTTTTTAATTTTGTTAGATAGTATGAACTGAACGGAACCTCTGCATTAGACATTGACTCTGTGTGAGTGTTTGTGTGGCTGGGGGAGGGGAGGTGTGCAGACTTTTTTTAATCGAAAGATGAATGGTCAGTGCCTAGCCCAAATGATAGTCTAATATTTTCCTGATCTTTCATGCCGGATTTTTTTAAGAAGAAGAATCAATATATACTATTTATTGACGCTTATATATCAATTGTCCTCAACCAGAAAGAAATAGATATGAAAATGCTAAACAGGATTTACTGCTTAACTAAAGCTTTACGCTGGGCATTGCAGATTGTAAAAAATTTATTTCTGATTGTATTGTGTTAATTCAACAGTGAAAAGTTATGTATAATTCTCAGATCTTTTTTTTGTGTATACCATCATGATAAAATTACCAGGAAATTTTATGTTTTGTGTGTACACCCTATTTACAAATTTTGTATCTAAAACACTGGCAATAATAGATCACTTGTTGAAATCAACAAGTTGACAAATAGGTCAATATTTAACATTTGTATAATATTATTATTTTATTTTTACATAACATGCAGTTGTACATGTATCATGTGTATTGGACATAATACTGTTGACCTTTATACTAATGCACACATATGCTAGTACATGTTTGCATTTCTTCTTCTACAATGTTTATGCTTTTCCATGAGGAGTGCCTCAGAAGATGATACAGTTATATATATAACTACTATACATTGTCAACCCATGTTTGTTCCACCTTACAGAATTAAGTTCCCCTAGAAACTTTGTTAAAACAATGTCATAATATCTGTTCCTGTTGGAACAAGTATTCTATATCCTTTATTCTGTAAGGCCAAAAAAAAAATATGTGTTTTCCTGTTTCATGACTGAAAAAAATAGGGTAGGTAGGTAGGGTCTTTTTTCTTTTCTTTTTTTTTTCTTTTGAATAAAAGAATAACCAATGTATGTTTGTATGTGTGCCTATGATAATAAAAGTGAAATAAAGGTAAACCATGAATAGAACACCAATCATCAATCAAGTCTCACATATCAAGGTACTAAGACTACATCCAGGGACTTAGCCAACAAAAATGGAGCATGGACCAGGAGCACCGATAGGGTAAATGTCCTCTGCTTTTCTAGAAATGTCATAATATAATTGATGCATGAAGACAGATGCCAAGTGAATGCAAAAGTACAATTTGCACTTCTGACAAGATGTCAGGGCAAATATAATTTCAAAACACATGTCAAAATAACTCTATCAACACCTTATTTTAATATATTGAACATATAAACACATTTCCAACAGACGAGTTCAATTGAGTTTGCAAGATCTTAGCACTTTTTGCCATAGGGTCTTTGTACAATTGGATATTTCCCATTGATACAACATTCCCCACATATTGGGATAACAGTTTTATATTGTTTTTTCAGTTCCTGATCCACCTCAGCATTTTCTTCACTACAGTAGGAACATAGATCTAAAACTCCTTAACCACTTGAGTAGTACTGTAATTCTATGGGCGTTTGACATGTTAAATCATTTCTACACATGACATCTCTAAACATGGATGCAGTTGGTTGCAGAATGACTGATCCACAAGTTTATTCATGTTCACTTATGCTTGTTATTTTACCGTGTTTATCTTCAAAAACATCTAGCAGCATTCTGCGGTTTTCTACAACCATGATTTCGTTTCTCTTAATATCCATGTGGTCACATTTTAAGAATCTTAAAGCCAATAGACTAGTAACTTGTAGATTGGATGCGGATAGCATGTGCGCCACCATGTTGGGTGATATAATAATGAGAAATGAGAAACGGTTGCCGGAACGAGATCCGAGTAATTCCGGAATTTCCAATTTTTGCCTTTTCACTCATAAATTTTACCATCCCCTTTTCATTGCCTTCTTGCAATATTAAGCCTACTGTTTGTGTCATATATGTGCATATGTATGTAATTAGAATCTTCCATAGATTTCATATCCAGTATATAAAATGGTAAAATATTATTTCTTTTTGGTGTATCCATGGCAACAATCTGCATTTTTTTCTTATAAAATATAGCAATAAAATGCTTCACTGAGCGCAGCCTGATACGACCGCAGAGGTCAAACCCTGAACAGTTGGGGCAAATTTGGACACAATATTCACGCTTGATACTGTCTGAATTTGGATTGTGATCAAATTTTTGACATAATATAGGTTTCTGACACAAAAAAAGATCTTATAAATCCATTGCGCAATACTGTGCAATTAAAGATTTCTTCTTGAAACTTTTCAAAAATTTGAAATTCTAAAAATTTTGAAAAAAAAATATGAATCCCTTGAAAAATTGGGAAAAAAATTCCCCCACCCCCAACTTTTTGAACCCCCCCCCCCTTGGAGCAATAACCCCAAAACTCAATCCCAGCCTTTCCTTTGTAGTATGGAACCTTGTA